AAAGACTAGGTGACATTAATCACCAGCTTTCCTGACCTCAAAGCTATTCCATTGGCCCTGTGAAAAACGCCAATCCTTTGTTTTTAAAATTTTAAAAGTTTAATAGTAATAAAATGGTTATAAAAATAGTAGTATAATTAGAGTTATAAAAATTTGGACAATTAGGATTTAGGACAATATGAGACAATAAGAACAAAGAGTTATGGACAGTCTGGGTACCTCTTTCTGCGCAAAATATGCTCGAAAAAGGACACACATTAACAGAGGATTAACCCTTAAAAGCAGTAGCTGTTGCATATTCATACACCTCATACATGATGCATAAATTCCGTTCAAACAAAGGATTCTGTCTGGTCCGTGTCAACTTCTTCCTCTTAATCCTGACAGCGTCTTCAGGGCTGAGCAAGGTGGGAAGAACTTCATTTCTTCTGATAAGAGAGCGATAAATTCTTTTTCTCTGAAAGATTTAGGTGTCCTGTGGCTGCTATCTGGTGCGAGAACCTCACTCCTCTCTTTAAAAAAATATCCCACAGACATAGTTTCTGTTTTTACTACACAAGTTACATTTTAACTGCAAAACTACATTTACCATACTATTAAAATGTTAATACAGCCCTACTAATCAATACAACATAATACATATTGTGAAAAACGCCAATCACTTGTTTTAAAAATTTCAAAAGTTTAATAGTAATAAAATGGTTATTAAAATAGTAATACAATTAGAGTAATAATAATTTGGACAATTTGAATTAGGACAATATGAGACAATAGAAACAAGGACTTATGGATGTCTGGGCAGCATAAGCCCGAAAAAGGATACATGAAAAAGGACACACTTTAACAGAGGATTAACCCTTAAAGTCAATAGTCTGTTGCATATTCATACACCTCATACATGATGCATAAGTTCCGTTCAAACAAAGGATTCTGTCCTGTCAGTGTCAACTTTTTCCTCTTAATCCCAACGGCGTCTTCAGGGCTGAGCAAGGTGGGAAGTACGTTTCTTCTGATAATGAAGCAATAAATTATTCTTCTCTGAAAGATTTAGGTGTCCTGTGGCTACTATCTGGTGCGAGTACCTCATTCCTTTCTTTACAAAAATATCCCACATCCATATTTTCTGTTTTAACTACAAAAGTTATATTTTAACTGCAAAACTACATTTACCATACTATTAAAACGTTAACACAGCACTACTAATCAATACAACGTAATACATATTGTGTAAAAACGCCAATCACTTGTTTTTAAAATTTTAAAAGTTTAATAGTAATAAAATGGTTATTAAAAGGGTAATATAATTAGAGTAATAAAAAATTGGACAATTAGGATTTAGGACAATATGGGACAATAAGAACAAAGAGTTACGGACAGTCCGGGTACCTCATTCTGGGCAAAATACGCTCGAAAAAGGACACACATTAACATACAATATGCAGATTTCACACTTTTTGTGAAGTAAAATAGTTTCAGCCATCCATTGAGCGTAGAGGAACAGCGAGGTCCAGGAAGTTTTGAGATGCGCTACAGATTTTGGCAAGAAGCAACCTCTGATCGTTCTGTCCCCGTCCCAGCCCCTTCGAGCCGCTCTTTCCCCCTCGGTCCCTTCCCTCCCGCTCGCCCCGCTCCTCACGCAGTTTCACTTTCTCTCCTCCCGTCCCTGCGGCACTGAGAAGGGCAGAGAGGGAGAGGGAATGAAGCTCCCTGCTCTCATTTCTTCCACCCTAAATAAAAAGCTTAAACTAAGAGGAGCTGAAAGGGGACACGGGAAGGCAGGGCACTGCCTTCCGACGCTGTAGGAACGAGCCCAGCAGGGCAATTCCCAGGCGCTGCCCAAGCCCCGGGGCGCTCGGAGCCCCGGGCCGGGCCGGCAGCAGGATCTGCCAGCTCGCCCCCTGCCGGGAATGCGAGAAAAGGGAGGAAAAAGGTTCTGCCGAAACCCGGGATCGAACCAGGGACCTTTAGATCTTCAGTCTAACGCTCTCCCAACTGAGCTATTTCGGCCGGCGTGTTGCCCCTTTTGCTGTGAGATACCACTAATCTGTCCCTATACACCCGTCGCCCGCTGGCTCAGTTTATCGTCTAAATCGAATGGTTGCAATTAGCCACAAAGGAGTCAATGACGGGTCCCCGCAAACAAAATTATGCCGTCAGCCAAAGACAAATCAGCAGTAACACAAAATTGTGCATATACAGACATCTATGCACAACACACCAACACACACGTTAGAATGAAGGTGTTTTGGCAGTGGCTCCGTGGATCATTGCAGGAGGTAACAGGAACTAGAACATTATGTAGGACTCAGGAGCATTAAATTGGCAGCATTTTACTTTCAGTTTTCAGGGATTTTATTTTAAAGCCTGACAAAATGTGTGCAGAGATGATGATGTCACAAAAAGACGTGAACAGAAAGGGCACCTACACCTTCTTGTGTCTACTGGAGAAGCTCCCTGTGTCCACATAAATCACAAATCCTAACTAAGTAGTGTAAGAATAAAAAATAGTTTACATTCACGTTGTGGATTAGGCATTGATTTCAACAGGCAACTGGTAGCACACTCCTGTGGCTACAGGGAAAAGGTGGAAGATGCACCAGAGTGCCCACGTTTAGTGCCTGTGGTGGGCACTGACATCTCAAGTTTGAGCTGATTTGCACAGCCCATGGTCTACGAAAAGCCACCTGTGAGAGCATCTCCTACTCACACTTCCTGCACACTGTGAGGGGAAAGAGGCTGCTTTGCAAAATTGTCCACTGCTGCTCCCTCCTGTTAGTAAAAAACACCAAAACTCTCTTCTGTAGTACTAGAGGGATTTAACAAACCCCTCCTTTTTCAAGGGGGGAAGAAGCAGCCTCAGCCCAAGCCAGCCATGTGAATATTTGCCCCCTGTTCCCTTTTATTTTCAAAGTGTATTTTTCCTCACATTGTCCCACATTTGTGGGTTCTTCAGGAGCTAATACGTTTCCAGGAGTCAAATACCTGTTTTCAGAAGGACTGAGCCAGCAGTTTAGTGACTGAAAACAAAACCTCTTCACAGTAAAAAATCAGTTAGGGAGAGGTTAAAAAAATCCACCCACACTTGTGCTTAAGAGGTGTGTGAACAACATACTGATACAAAATCTTATGATTTTCCATTGCCACTGGCAATGATTGTTTTGCAGAGAAACGATGAACATAATCCCTTAACAAGAATGTCTCCTACTGATGCAGCTAACACAATCTGTGATCTCTGGTGCAGATAAACTCCAAATGTGTCACGGCATGCAGAGAAGTCAAAACACTATTGACTTAAGAGTTTTCATACATTACCACAACAATCAGAGCTACTAGGCAGTAATGAGTTATTCTGATTCTTATTTTTAGAAATCTCTGTTTTGCCAGGTGAAATGGAAGTGACAATGGGAATAAAACAAAAAACTAAAGGTAGTGCAAAACAAAAATAAATAAAAGAGAAGGACAATTCAGACTCAGACATAGCATATTTAATAAGAGTCAGCTTTTCCCCTAACAGAATTTGGTGAGGGGTTTTGTATTAAAAGTTCCTCCTTGTGTAGAAAGATATTTGCAGTTTGTGCCTGTCTAATGAGCATAAGAACACACTTTCAGCAAAATGGAGCATTCTGAGTCAAAAAAAACCCACAAACCAACAAAAAACCCCCACATTTTTCACCCACAGTCTTTCTCCTACATCAAAGAAAGTAGAGGGTGGACAAACCAAAGGTATTTACTAGTCCATCATCTTAGGAGAGTGTAAACAAGCTTAAACCACAGCTGACACCTCTTAATGTAAGCAGCACACAAATTTAAGCAAGTGCTGAGGTCAGACCAGGGAAAGCCTTGGAGAAAGTAAAAGCTCTCTTTGTTGCATAAAGTGGAGCTGATACACACACACCACAAATGCCCCACAGGCCACAGCTGGCAGGGTGAGCTGTGGCTGCCCCATCCCTGGCAGCGCTCAAGGCCAGGTTGGACAGGGCTCTGTGTCCCTGCACATGGCAGGGGGCTTGAACTAGGTGATCATTTAGGTCCTTTCCTGGCTGAATCACTCTGATTCTGTGAGTGCAGACAGCCCTGCCTCAGCTGCCCACTTCAGTGTCTTCCTGTTGTATTTTCTCAGACCCCCGTGGCAGGAAGGAATGATGAATCTGACTCCATGTTCTCAGAAGGCTAATTTATTATTTTATTATACTATTATACTATATATATAATTTGTATCATTATATATTATACCAAAGAATACTATACTAAACTATACTAAAGAATACAGAAAGGATGCAGACAGAAGGCTAGAAAGATGAATCTCGTAACTCTCCAGAGTCTGGCACAGCTTGGCCCCAATTGGCCAATGAGTGAAAACACACCAGAAACCACCTGTTGGTAAACAATCTCCAAACATATTCCAAAGCAGCAAAACACAGCAGAAGCAAATCTGATAATTATTGTTTTCATTTTTCTCTGAGGGTTCTTAGCTTCCCAGGAGCAAGATCCTGGGCAAAGAGATTTTTCCAGAAAATATGACAGTGATATCTTCCAAATCCTTTCACTTGCTGCTAGGCAAGGGATGCACTGAATGGCAGCTGTGGCACACCAAGACAGTGAGGTGCAATCTTGGTTTTCCCCAATGCACAAGGGATTTCAGGAGCTGCTTCCCAAAGATCTGATCCAATTCAGAACACTAATCCCAAAAAGAGATGCAAACCACCCAAGTTCCTGATAGAACATGAATCCATACCTCTGCCTAAGTCCAGCCCTTCTCCCTTAGAAAGTTTTAGCAGTTAAGTGACATACACATTTACTCCATTTTTCTTACTGGTGTAGCCTCACTTTGCTCTGACACAAGCCTTGAAAAAGTAGACTGAAAGGTTACAGTGTTCACAGTATTTTACATCACTACCTCTGCCTTCTGCAGAAATGCTTCCCTGCAAAATCAGTGAGAAACAAAACCTGAAAGCATCACACTTCTCCACACTGACAGTCCACTAGTTGATCCTTTGTCCTTTTCTTCCTACAGAAGACAGAAGGCTAATGGCAAAATAAGCTGTTTTCTACAACAGAAAATACTTTTCCTTGTGAAAGAAATGCTCCTACCAGATCACTCAGCTGCAAAGAAAATCTGCTGTACATCAAAGTAGCTCAAAGCAAAAACCTCATACATTTCTTAAATACATAAATTTCAATATTTTAAAATGTGCATTTATTTATATATATACAAGTAATAACACTAAGATAAAAGTCTCAAACACTTGGATAAATTAAATCTTCAAAAACATTTAAATAAACTAGAACAGCCATCACTAAAAAATTAATAGAACCTATTGAAAATCCACCCCAGGTAATACAACTTCTTTGGATAGTCATACAAATATCAATGCTTGCATCTTCAGCATCTATACATTAAGAACAACTTTCAAAAGTTCTGTTCAATAAACTAATCACTCCCTACTGCTTTCTTCTGTGTATTTCTGATAACACTGTTTTTAGTGTTCCAAGACACTGTAGCTATTTTCAAAGGTTTAAAATATTTTTAAGGTTTATACATGTTTAAAATTGTAAGATTTTAGTTATCTGTAATCTCTACTCTTAATAACAGAGTACTGGCAACACAGCCAGTATTCCAGTATAAGGAGATGTGAAAGAATCTTATTTTCATACAACCCACTCAAAGCAGCTGTCACAGCAATGACAAATACAGCTAAGACAGATCTTTCCAGCACTTTAGCTATTTCTGGTACTGACTTGTACAAAATACAGAACAGTAAGATGGATATTGTAAGGAAGGATGCACTTTGTAAGGAAACAGGAAAAGCACAAAAATTAAGGAAATCTTTGAATTTAGTCAGCAATGCGCATTTGACAACGACATTTCAGTGATTCATCCATAGAAACACATGTGGTAAGCCAAGTATGCAACAGATCGTTACATATGAAATCCTGTAACTTCTATCTGTCCCAAATGGAAGCTTTTACTTCCAAATCAAGCATCAGTAACTGCCACACAATTCTACTATCATTATCCCACTGTGTCACAGAAAACTCTCCTTCAAAAACAGGCCCCTAGACTCTAAAACCCATACTTGGCACTGCAGTAAGCCTAGAAACTTCCTGGTTAGCCTTCTTTTATTAGAGTGACTCTTGCCAGCCACAAGTGGCACTTTACCAACAGCACCATGCACCACAAGATGTGTGATGAAGTTGGGAACACTTGTGTTTCAGGAGCTATCTCCCAGTTTCTGAGGCCCTTTAGGAGTCACAGCTTTTTCTGAGTTCCCACAGCATCCCAGTCCTGTGCCACTTGCAGCTCTGCCCAAGGGCCACACATGATCAGGGCAGGGACTGGCCAATTACAGAAGCTGAAGTGACAAAACCAAGAACTGTGGTCCTTTTTATGTTTGCCAGATCACCTCAAAGACAAAAAAGTGAAGATAATTTTTTCAGGATACAGGAAGAGCTAAGAAATTATTTTTAAAAAAAAAACCCACCATGTACTTTTATAGCATGCTCTTCTTAATTAAGAGAAACCAGTCACACCATAATATTTATTATTAAATCAACTGTGAACAAGATTCCTTGACAGATTTCTAGAATTACAGAGTTTTTTTCCAACTTTTCTATTAAAACTCAAATACTGTTTTATCTTTCAAATGTTTATTATAGAAAAAATGATGATACACTGCATTGATTAAGGTCTGCCAACCCACAATTCACAGAAAATGAAGAGTTTTAAAAAATTTCCTCCATAAGTAGCCTTCATATCACAGGAGATAAGATCATTGGAATGTTAACTGTATTCCAGTATTTCAAGTTTGTTACAATTACAACTAAGAAAAAGGAGTTAACATGTAATAGACAGTAATACAGTCAAAGGAGTACAAAGTTTAAGGAAATACTTCTACTTCTCGACATCATTCCCCCCTTGTTCCCCTTAAAAGGGGCATTTAAAGTTATAGTGTAGGTAAGTGTAATCAGTCAACTACAAAAGCTAAAAGTGCACCAGCAGAGAAATGGACGGAACCATACAGGTGCTGTGTCCAGCTTTTGTCAATTTATAGTCTCCAAAAAATAGGTAATTTCTCCCCTTGATTAAAAATAAAACCCAATTCTTCGAAGTGACAAAAATTATATATATTACACTGTAAAAACAAACTAATACAGATGAATAATTCCAGTACTAAAACAAATTTAACTCCAAGTCTCAAAAGCTGCAATCACAGTTAATTATTCTTAATAAGGCAGATTTTACTTCAGTACATTAATTTATAACATTATAAATATTCTTCACTCCATACAGTTTTTTAAAATCAATACTTTGTGAGAATAGAGTATTGCACCGAAAGCTGAAACTAAGAGGTTCAACCTATAAAGTGCCGAAACCATTCCAAAGCTGTGCCACACTGTGGTTCTTTACTCATCATGGTTCATGTATCTTGAATACATTAAGAGCGCAGTGTGGCCACTTGATTGCAGGCTTTGAAGAAAAGACCATATGAGGTAGAAGAAACTCCTTCAGGTTCTGTGCCAGGCTATGGACCACTGAGCTGGGCAAATGGGTCTGTCACAGGAAAGGGCTCCAAAGCTTTCTCTGAGTTTTTCCAGTTGTGGAAATTGTCTCTGTACCATTCAACTAATATGGGAAGAATGTTGATGAGTCAAGCTGACCACAGATAACAGGGAAATCCAAATATTCCATAGATACATGACCAACAACATGCTAATTGTTCTTTATGGAAGACTTTAGCCCACAATATTATAAAAAATCTAGTTTAAACTTTTTAAGTTCTTTATGCAAGACTTATTCTAGCACTAAAAAGTGATTATCTTTTTTCTTTTATGTCATGCAAATTCACTATTTAGAAAGCAGCCAATTTTATGTAAAATTCAAGTGTTACATTCAATCTCTTGAGCTTCTCATTAATTAAGCTATATATCCATTTCCCCTTTTTCCCTCTCCCTCCTCCCATCACTCCTACATCAGTGTAAAAGTCATCAGTCTTACTTGTTTTCATTATTCCTTCTTTCCAAGGCACTTTGGGTCTCCAGCCTAAATTGTGCATTTTTTCCGAACTCATTGGGTATCTGAGGTCATTTGTAGGCCTGATGAAATATAAAATGCACACAGAAAACAATCTGATGCTTCCTTAATGAGACATGCAGTACCTCACACTGTCCTCCAAGGAATATTAGACATGCTTCAATTTTGAAAATTCCCACCAACATAAACAGGTTGCATTGCCTTCAAAAAATACGTGGCAGCTGAGTGCAGCTACAACAACACAATTCAGTTTGTACAGTCAACTACTTGAAATTGACTAGAATAAATATTAATTAGTATTTTACTGGCACAAAAATGAACACAAAAATCACTGCCAACGCATTTGTGCAAATCAGTGCATTTGCAACACAGAGCCAGCATTTTCTAATATTAGCATTCACGTTTTTTTATCCTGAAAACCCAGAAATTTACACATACTTCAGATTTAAAACACACAGGCTTCCAAAGGGGCATCATTACAGTGGCTCATTAACTACATCAACTTAGTAATACTGAATATGTAGAGTCCCAAGCTGCAAGATTCAACACAGAAAGATATATCTGACATTTAAGCATGGCAGAAATTTTCACTTCCACAGTCTGGCAGATAGGTAGCCCAGTCTAGCATCCTGCACTACTGGCACTGGCATATTGAATAGTCAAGGTACATGTGCAGGCACAAACCAAGCACTTATCACTGTTACTGTAACATGCTAATCTGAAGCAGAATTAATTTTTCCATAGCAAGTAACCCCCATGACCTTTAAGCTATTCATTATAGAATTATATAGTCATAAATTAGGTATATTAACAATATTTGATAAGACCTCCACACTCCTGAAACACATACTCCTATGTGGTTAGTTTTCCCAAGCCCATTTACATTTAAACATAAGCAGACAAGGCTCAATACACACGAAGGAATATCTCAAAGTGAAATACACTGAGAACTCCTAAACACTCACATCATGTGAGCCAAAGGCAATTTGATCAAAGTCCTGTAATACATTGAGATAGGATTCTGAAGAGCTGAAGAACAGTTTCCTTTTAAAAACAAAAGCTAGCACATTTTTAAAGACACTTCAGTTACCATGATAACAATCTAAATGTGATCAGAAAGTGAGAATTCTAAAGGCCATAATACTTAACTGCTATCAGCAGACACATCATTTCTAATCACTCTGGAGAGAGTGATATCTAAAGTAAGCAGAGATTCATTGTTGCTGCAGAAAAGAAATGGATATAAAAGAGCAGAGCCAAACCAAGCCTGAAATTAAGGACAGAAACACACAGCAAAAGCATATCTATAAAAGCTACCCATTTTTCCACTGCCCTAACTTTGGTACCTTAGAGCTTTACATCTACTTTTGAGATAGCAGCTTCAGCTTAAGATAGAAATCTAAAGTTAACAACACTCCACAGGCACATATCTCTGCCTGTGGAGACTGAGTCTTACTACAAAGTACATCTAAGTCTGAATTAGTCACATTCATGCCAAAATACTAAAGCTAGGCAACAGACGATGGGATTGATCTCACTCAGTGATGCCAAATAAAAAGTACACTGAATAAACTGTCCAAGCTACTGTGAAGGAAAGGTTTAGTTGCTCTCTAAAACTTTTCCCAGAGCAGACTTCAGTAATGACAAGTATGAGAATGTTTGAAGACAGATTAGCATTACATGCCCCCCTTCAAGACATTCATTCTGACCTACAGAACCAAACAATAAATGAAAGTCCTGTTTTCTATACAGAACCCTGATCATAGATATCAAATCCACTAGCAAAAAAATAAAAAAAAAAAGAAAAGAAAAGAGAAAAAAACTTAAGGAAAGCTCAAAACAGCTCTTACTCCCTCGAAAGTGTTCCCTCCTTTAAAGCAGAAACACTTCCGCAAAAAATTTTTTGGTTAAGAGTCTCAGAAAACCTGCAGGACAAAACTACCCTGCATGTGCAGCCCATCCTGCACATCCTCCACATTTCCCACCTGTCTTTGACATAATCCATCCAGTGTTCCATTTCAGACTCTGAACTGGTCTTCTTTATCTGTCAAGAAGAAAAACAAGTATCACTCCCATACATCTTGGGCTATCTAAACATATATTTAAAAATCAGGTTTTTTTCTTAACAAACTTAAATCTTATTTAAAACCTCCACCAAACAAAAAAAAAATAAATCACAAAGAGAAATGGACTTTTGTATACTGAGTCTTTGAACCACCAAAATTACTAAAATTATCTAGAACATCTCCAACCTATCTCCTTCATCCAGAGCACTGCCAGACCATCATAATCAAACTGTTAGATTTTAATAGTGCCACATTGTCAGACTAAAATTAAAACAGTCAGCATGGAAAAAAATGGTAATCATGATGCCAGCCAGGATATGTCCCAGTCAGGATAAGTGACACAGCAGCCCAGCACAGGATAGCCCATACTGCAAGCTTACACAGTCCAGCTGCCACAGAAAAGGTAGCACATCATTCTGCTGCAAGGATCTTCCAACAGCCACCACAAGTCTAAGCTCCTTTAGAGCTACAGAAGGTCTGTGCAATTACTTATATGAGCAATGAAAACCAGTAAAGAAAAGCATCAGAACTTTTTACTCACTAAATGAATTAGCTCCTTAGCAAGCTGGGCAATGGACATCTCAAAGTTAGTTCCAATGTTATAAATTTCACCTGGTTTCCCCTCCTTCAGGACAGTAAGGAATGCTTCTACTACATCAGTTGCATAAAGGAAATTCCTTCTCTGAAGTCCAGAACCATGAATACAGCTTAAGACAAGAAAAAGACAAAAAAAGTATTTTAGTTCTCAAATAGACACATTCAATTTACTGGACTGTTTTTAGCAGTTTTGCTGTTAGATGGGTGCCTGAAGGTACCTTAAGTAGCTGACATGCAAACAATCCTTTACTTTAAGGAAATCCTGCTATTAAGTAATTCAGAACTTTGTTATGTAATTATCATTTTACAAACAAGCACATATTTATAACTGCAATTACAGTTTTATAGGAGAAATGCTACCAAAAATGTGAGTTACCTACCATTTTCTGTTCTGCTGCAACAAAGATATAAACTTTGGAATAACCTAAGGAATTGAACAACAAAAAAAATTACTTCACTATTTTAGAAGCTGTTATTCTACAAAGAATAAGGAACTTCAATGGTTATGAAGCATTAAGTATTTTAATAAGATCCTTTAAATACTTCTAAGTTTTATTAAATATAGTGAAAGAATATATCAAGCCTAGAAACTGCAAGGATTTTGGCTTGTAAGAGTACATGCCTTTACTGTATTGTAAGCCTTATCTTTCTGGTTGTTACAAATGTAACAGTTTTTCAAAAATAAAAGAAGTTTCCATTACTTTTGCACATGGCAGTGAATCACAATCTAACTAGAAATAATATTATCAACAGTTCAGAACAAGGTTTAAACATCCAACAAATTGCAGTAATTCTAGAAAGAAAAAGTTGTAAAAGTAGTTAAATTTGGAAGAGAATCAACAGAGAATTTTAAGATTACACAGACAAACACAGATCAAGTGACAGTGTGCTCACTGCACAAAGATTTACATTATGTTCATCTAAAAGCTTAGATCCATTCATAATGCCCCAGATACTTCAGAACAGTTACCCCCACTATTAAAGTCCTTAAACTGAAGCCACCAGAAAACTACTCAAATTACTTAAATTTAACTTCCTGGCCTAAAGACAGGAGCAAAATACTAGATAAAAGGTTAATGTAGCCTAGTGCTGTGTTTTTAGCAGTAACTACAATTTGCTATGCAAAGAAGAATAAATGTAAGTCAAAAGCTAGCAAATACATCCCCTAATATACCCCCAACAATCGTGCAACCTGTAGCAAGACACAGATCAATGAAAAATGTACTCTAAAAGCCATTCTTATCCACCTGCAATAATGCATGTGAAAATAAATGTATTTGCAAAAAAAAAAAAAACACAAAAGGTAAAAAGCAATTTAAAAAAAGCTCCATAGAACTGTAAAGCATAGCTACATTTTCCACCAGTTCCAAACTCCAAAGAGTACTTGTGATGATTACTTTCATTTCAACAGTGTATTTCCATTCACTAACCAAGCAGATTCAGGTATTGACTTAAAAAGGCAACTCCTTCTCACAAATAATTGTTTTAAATAGTCACCTTGCAAGGTCTGTACGAACACAGGCAAAAACAAGTCACTTCACACTACTTCTCACTTTATACATGAATGCTATAGCTTCATCTTACTTATTTTCTGTGCAGGCTGGAACATCCCTTTCTATACCAGACATTGAATTCACAGTTTACTTTTTGAAATGTTTCCCTTAGTTATTGAACACTCACAATTACAAAACATGACATGAGTTAATGTAATTTGTAATTTGTAGGGGAACTCTGTCAAAATATCCTTTGAAAAATAGAAAAATTACAAATCAAAGTTGCTGTCATAAAATTCATTTAAACTACAAGTCTCTAATTGAAGTTAAACCAAAAAATATGTGTTCAGGGTAAGACACATTAGTGCAAGCTCAAAATATATAATCACATTAATTGTAAGAGTGCTTTTTTCAAAGCACTCTTCCACACACTTTTTCATCCCATGCACATGAGAAAAAAGTAACATCACTGCAACCCTGATTTCTGGTCCAGTGAAGCTCAGAGTAAAGCACAGTTTAACTTACCTTTTCTGGATACTGATGTGGTCCATAAACATTACTGCTCCGTGTGATGACAACTGGGAACTGGAAAGCATTAAACATACACGTGATTACATAAGAAAGCATACACCAGTACAAATCTGTACCTTCTTGCTGATCAATAAACAAACCAACATACACACACAAAAATCTGCAAGCCCTTACAAACGTTACTGAATTAAGCTCTCTGTATTTCTGTCAAAGAGGCAAAGGCCTCCAGCCTCCTCAGCCTGTCAGGAGCACCACCAGTGACAAATGTTTGAAATCTCTCTAGCTCTGGAAGCACCGCAGGACATTGCATATGTGTATCTGATTGACTAAAGACTGGCTTGCTCCTGCTTATGCCAATGTGTTTCACAGGTCATTAACATCCTGCTCTTGTTCACTTTATAGCAAAAACATCATACATCAAGAACAGAAGTCTAAGGTATCCAAAATATGGATAAATGTGTTTGCTTAAATAAATCTGACTAGCAGGGATTTTTCTTGGTTTTTTTTTTTTTTTTGCTTTAACCATAACCCTAGTCTTGATGCTTGATGCAATTTGAATTACGCATGTTCTACTTCTGTGTAATGCTTTTGTATTCCTGCAAGCTTAGCATGGATTTTTAAATTCTTAATGTTCTCTTTGACCATTTTATCAAAGCACATTTTTAGATATTACAGTTCAGATTTAAAAAACAAAACTTAAAAACATTTGATCTGTCCCCACTATCTTGCAGTGTATCTTCATAACTTATTGAGGGAGATTCTCTAACACATCCAAACTACAAGACTAACAATAAAGAAAGAGGTGGCACTGTGAGGACTGTACTGGTTTTTCTTTTATACTCTTACATACAAAATACAGACACTAAATTACAGGCTTCAGAGTTTTTAAAGCTTCCATGGACTTACTTGGTACCTTTCCCAGTAAGACTGCACAAAACACTCTGCAGCTGCTTTAGAGGAGGCATAGGGATTTGTTGGACGTTTTGGTGAGGACTCATCAAATTCCTACAATGAAAAGAAAAATTTGCATTGCTCAATTTCTTTTGCCCAGATAAGCCTTAAAGTTACAAAAGAAATAAAAATCCATAAATATCCAAGCATATCAGCCTAACAAAGTCTGCTTACAACAGAAGACCATAACAAAAGACAGTCTATTTACTGAACATAGGAGACAGACAGAGTACCAGCAGTAATATTTTTATACTTGTAACAGAGTTACCTCACAGCAGCAGGTCCTCAGATTTTTATCTTATTAAATAATTACTGTTGCTAGAGAGGCTTAATATCTTTCAGGTTCATATTGCCTCAGAGAGCAATTAGGCCACCATTAGCAAATTCACCTTTCAGCCCTAAATAAAAGGGGTCTTTTCTCAAATTTTTGTGTAACTTTATTTCTGTAAAAAAATGTAGAATTGCAACCCAAAAGCTTCCAAAGCAAGGCTTCAACAATTCTGACCAGTTCCAGAACAGGTATCTTCCAGACTATCCTGACACTTTAATCTACTTCTCACTTGAAGAGAGAAAAAAACAAACCCAAAGAAGGAGGATACTAGCCAAGGTGTGATTGGTAACAATCACCTTAACGTGATTAAAACACTCACTGTTCTTGTCCGACCTTTGCCTCTGAAATTAAATGGCCTTCCACCCCTCAAAAAACACTCTACCAGAACTTCTAGTGTGACTCACAAAGAGAAGAAAAAAAAAAGAGATTTAAGTTCTCTTTTCAATGCCCAGAGACAGAAAAAATTCACTTGAAGGTATCAGCCAAGCCACGGGTCTACACACAAGAAAATATCATTCTTAGGTATCACAAAAGCCTACAGATGGAAGCTGTGTTGAAGGAAATGACAAAGACACTGTGATAATAAGAAAGTGCAAAGAACTCTTCTGATGTACATTAATATTTCCAGGGACTATGGCAAAAGGCTCATTAATTTTATTTATGCCTTAAAAAGATGAACATGCATAATTTGTCTTTTTACTGAGCTAAATTATATTTCCTGAATTAAGGTCAGGTATAAATTCTCAAAAATCAAAGATGTGCACGTAACAATAAGAAACATCTGAATATTTATTACAGTAATAGGGGAATTGTTTTCTATTTGAACTGTCACTGCCTACACCTCTGTTAATATCTTAGCTAGAATATAAAGCAGTTCCTCACCTGTTAAGCTGTGCACATTACTGAAGTCTCATGAATGCTCCAGGACAAAACCTGTACAACACACTACACTCCTTTGATACTATCTCTGAGTAGTGACACCATTCATGACCCAAATCTCACAATAAACACTCAATATAAAACAAGCTAGGAAAAAAAAAAACAGAACAAAACAAAACAAAAAAACGGAAAATTTTGATACTCAGCTTTCTAGAAGCTACCAGTGCTTACTTAGTCAAACATTTACAGAGGCCAAGGAAAGTTAGACTCAACTTTGTTTTCACTATTAAAAGCAGGTAAACTAGAAAAATCCTCATGTATTTTCAAACTCACCTCACCAGTGCTACCTCCATATACTTCATCTGTACTAACATAGACAAATTTCTCCACATTGGCTTCATGTGCAGCAGCAACCAGCACATTGGTGCCATAAACATTCACGTAGGTGAATTCCAGGGCATGCCAAAATGAAAGATCTACATTAAAAAATACAGACAATTCTGATTAAATTTACAAGACAAGGGCTATAAATTAAATTTAGCAAGACAGGGCTATAGGTTCCACTTGAAGGCTGCAATATAGACCTGTCAGACAGCAAGGTCCTTATTAAATGAAGGCCCCTTCTACACTTACTTGAAGACAAAAATCCTTGTTCTCAACAAGAGGCTGGAATCATGGATTTTTTTAATCTAAAATAGCATTGGCTAAGTACAGTAAGAAAAGTGTCATTCAAAGACAGTTGCAAGATGCAGTAATATGGATCAATGACTAATAACTCATCAGCAGCTGCTCTGTTTCTCACAACTCTTCCCCTGGCCTAATGACTTTGTGCCTAACAAATCTGACAATTTCAAGAAGTATTTTCTTGCAGAATTCTTTGAAGATTTCTTCCCATGATGGATGGAGTATGGTAGGCATTGCTCTTCCTAACAGTGATACTGAAAAGCAGCCATCTGAAATATGCACTTTATAATTAATTCTCTCTTTTTAGCATGGAGACAAGATTCCAGTGGGACTTATGCCTAATCCTTCAGGTTTCACACTGTTTCTTCATGTGACATTGAAGCCAATTAAGTAAAAACTTCAGACTATGTACAAAGCCCCTCTCCACTGTCTTTATGACTCCCTCAGTACACTGTCAGCTACACATCAGTCTACACAGAATTTAAAAAGGTAATGCAGACAAAAAGGTACATTACCATTTATATGCAATGAAAACAAGACAAGAGTTAGATTAAGAACTTTTTAAATCAAGGCTGTGAATCTCTCTGAGTTAAAAAGGACACCAGATGCTCAGTCATGTGATTTGTAGAGACAAATTGGAACCTTGATTTATATGAAAGGAAAAGACAAAAGGTATACCGGCACATATTTCAAGCAGGCATAGCCATGGAAAACAATACCAAAACACGCAGCAATGCTCACCTACATGTGTTTGGGCTGCAAAATGAAGCACTATATCTATTTTCTCAGTTTCAAAGAGCTGCTTTATAAAATCAGGTTCACAAATATCCCCCTAAACAGGAAAGAAAAAAAAAAAAGGCAAATTATTTTTGATAGAAAATAGTCAGCTTCCCTTTAAACCAAGTGTCACATAAGAAACCATTACAAAGGGAACACAGGATACAAACAGCTGAGCTCTGGGCCACTTATCAATGCCATGTCTAAAATAAGACCATACATAAAATTTCAACAATTTTTTAAAAAATCCTAAATGAAACTTATTTCAGAATTTATATTACTATTAACATTAGAAATAGCCATGTGTCAAAAATACACAGAACAAAAGTACAGGAGCTCCAACACTGAGGCTGAAATTCCAAGTTCCCAGAGCAAGTAAGAATTCCCAGTCTGGCAAGCTGGCAGGGACATCTAGTGGTACTGCAAAAGGAGAAGCAGATTTGGGAATCTAAGGGGGATTAGATTATGTCTTGCAAGGGCTTTGCTGTTTGCTGTTTATTTGGGTGATTTATTTTTTAATTGCCATATTTTTTAAGAGACATTATTTTGAACTAAATGGCTAGTTACTGAATTGTTTTTAAATTAAATTCAAGCTTAGTACATGTATGCTGAACAGCAACAGAAACTGTGATTAAAACATATCTTTTCTACAGCCCCTGAGGCAAATTTTCTAAACTTACTGTTCTACTTTCCAAAACAGACTTCCTTTCTACAGTACCACTAGAGAATACATCCTTCCTTCTGTCTCCTAAGGTCAGGATCAATGTTACAGTTCTAATTATAAGGATTGCACATCACATATTATCTTTTCCAGCACATTTTCTCCTGTCAGTGTAAACTGCTTGGTTGCATACTGGATGTTAAGTTGTGATCAACTGTCCCTAAAAGCCAAAAACAGAAATAAACAACCCAAACCACAAAAAAAAAAAACAGCAACACAGTGAAAAGTTGGAATTATTTATACTGATGTAAGCTTTGTGACAAGATTCCTACAGTTGTTCAAAAGTAGTATAGCCACATCATTCCTAGTTACTGTTCCCCTGCTTCACACAGGGATCTGCCTGTTTAAAGGATATCTTGTAGAACTCCATGCTCTCCCCAGCAATTAAACGTTAATGTCTACTCAGGTAACTAGGCTTTTACATTGCATTCATACATTTCATATTGCTGGAAACAATCAAAGACCTTATGAAAATAACCAAAAAGCCACTTTGGTCATGTTGAAACTGCATACACGTGCATGTCTACGTAGAGGCTGTGCCTTTCCTCTCAGGCAACTTTTATCCCAAAAGCGCAGATATAACTCCATACTGAAATAAAGAGGTGGTGCACAAAAACATAAACAGCCATGGGGGTCACCAACAGGTCAGGGCAAGTTCAGCCTCACCTAAATCTAAGGAAAAAGGCAAGTTGACATCTGCTACATCTGAGAAAGGTGCTGTTTCAGCAAACTGAGCTATAAGCATTTCTCAGATGTCCTGCAACCTTGGGCAGACCCAAAGACAGAGAGATGAGCATCAGCACCACCTTTTGTAGGCAGGAGGAACCTCAGCACACAAGCCCAAATATTGATCTGAACAATAAATCAAAATCCATCTCCTGTCTGAAGACAAAACTGTGGAAGCAGTACACCAAAAATCTGTAAAAAGTCACGTTTTGTGGAAGGGAAGGTTCTATCACCTGGATAAACTTGTAGTTTTCCTTCCCAGAGACAGTTTCAAGATTCTTCAAGCTTGCACAGTAGTCGAGCTAAAGAGAAATACCACACAACATCAGTGAGTGGGCTTCATGGAAACAAAAAGGCTACTCAAACACAACCTAACCACTGGAAAGTCTAAGAATAAAGTAAAAACTTATTTTAAAAAAATCTACTTCACAAGCAGATGTGAAGCTTTAAAAGCACAAATCTCCAAAAGATACCCTAACTGCAAAAATTCTTAAACAGATGTTTAGAGCTTGAAAAGTTTTGTTCTTTGTCTGAACACTAGTTGACTTTTTTTTTTTTGCACAGGAACAAATGGAAAATCAAACAAAAATTAGTAACTAACAATAAGCCATATACATGTAAACATATTATAAACTGCATTATAAATCACTTGAAACAGTTGTCCATATCAAGAAAGAAAAGAAGGTATTATTACCTTATCCAGATTTATAATCAGATAGTTTGGATAGTTTTTCACAAGAGAGACGACTACATGTGAAGCACTGCAGGATAGAAGAAAAACATATTTTACAATTATATACTTGGTTTTAAGGTAATGAAGAGATGACAAATTCCAAATAAATTCAGCAATATCAAAAGTTTTGGGGGAAGAAGAGGATATATTCAAGACAAATGGAAGAAAAATTCAAAGATATTTTAACACATCAACATTATTCTAATATATATTCTATACATTATCCTAATTTTCTATATGTAAGGTTAAGAAACTAAAAATCAGAACAAAAGTTCATCCTATAATGAAAGAAATCAGCACTGCCCACAGTCACATAAAAAACCAAAAAAAAAAAACTGTTATAGGCTATATTCAGTTGCCACTGTAAAATATTTTTGCAATGTAAAGGTTACATATTAGGTATCAGGGAGAACCAAGCAGTCAATACTCCTAACCCACGACAGTGACTGCCATCACTCACGTCTCTGACACTGCTGCTAGGTGTGACAACCAGGTGGCACTGCCCCTTTGGCACGGTCTTGTGCACATGAAACTCATTCTGAGAGTTCAGGTTAGTTCAGGGTTATTCATACACAGAAATTTAACCCTCTCACAGCTTCCACACACGGAGGGGCTCAAGCTTAATTCGGGCCTGACCCTTCTCTGACTCGAAGTGAGCCCACAGCACTGGGGGTTGATAAGGGAAATAGCAGCTGGCTCGAAGCCATGCCACCTTTAACCCAAAGAATCCATTGGGCTGGAAAAGACCCGAGATCACCGAGTCCAACTTACGACCAAACACAAGGGTTAACCCCTTGTTAACCAGACCATGGCATTAAGCCCCATGTCCAATCGTTTCCTGAACACCTGCAGGGACAGTGACTTCTGACCACCCTGGGCAGCCCATTCCAATATCTAATCATCTCTTCTACGAATAAATTCTTTCTAGCGTTCGCCCTAAACGTCCGCAGGCGCAGCTCAGACTGTGTCCTCTCGTCCTGTCATTTGCTGCCTAGGACGTGAGGCTAAGCTATCTCCAGGGGTTCAACCCCTCTTTCAGGAAGCTGAAGAGACGATAAGGTTGTTTCGCCTGAGGCTCCAGGCAAAACAAGCCCAGCTCCCTCAGCCGCTCCTCACAAGGTTTGTGCTCCAGGCCCTTCTCTGCCTTCTCCTGGGCAGCCCCGTCCCGGCCGGGGCCGAGCACGCACTGCCAGCGCCGGGCGGTCCCTCCATCTCCTGGCCGGCCGCAGGGAAGGCGGACGGGGCTCCCAGCTCGCTCCCCGGCATTCACCACCTCCAAACCCAGACACGGGCGAGCCACCAGCGGTCCCTGAGGGAGCGCGGCCCGAGCCAGTGGCACCGAGGAACCGGCCCGGGAAGGACAAAGGGCGGCAGCACCGCGGGACCCCCGCCCGCCACGTCTCGCCCGCGCCCCCGGACAGGAGGCCGGCAGCCCCCCATTCCGGCCCCGCGGGCTCACTCACATGAAGCCGGCGCCGCCCGTCACCAGGACCCGCTTCTCGAACGGCGGCGGCGCCACGGGGCCCGCCCGCCCCGACATCGTCCGCGCTTTACGGCATCGGCCCCTCACTCCCTGTCCCCCACGGCTGCGCGTGAGCGGCACGGGCCCGTGGGCTTCACGGGCAGAGTCGCAGCGCCTGCAAGAGGCTCACTGAAAGATCGCCTTCCTCGCTCCCCGTGCGGCCCCAAGAGCGGAGCTGTCACCGTCTCGGAGGCCACCGACAGCGGGGCGGGCGCGGCGTGTGAGAAACGCCAATATCCGCATTCACATATAAAAGTGCCTCCTCCGCATTCAGCGGCAACCGGTGGCCGTCTCTTTTACGACTCTGGCTCTTTTAACTTACGGCCGGACCTAGCAACGGGACACGTTGCCGCAGGGGCGGGGCCTGGCGCTCGGTCTCGCCCCCAGGGGCGGGCGCGCTCCCTCATTGGCTCTCTCGCCGCTCGCGCCTAAGGCCGTGGGGGGCGTCACGTGACGCGGGGAGGCCGCGCGGGAGGGGGGCGGAGGATCTCGGAGGATCCTGGCGTCCGGCGGCTCCGGGGATGCGGTGGCGGCTGCTGTGGCTGCTCAGCGCCGCCGCCGCCGGCTGCTGCTGGGGCCTCGCCGCGGGCAAGACGCTGCGGGGCGGTTTCACCAGCTCCGCCGCCCGCCGGGAGCCGTGGCGGCCCGTGGCGCACTTCCAGTTCCACGGTGGGTGCCCCGAGGGCGGGAGAGCGGGGCAGCGGCGGCTGTGCCGCCCGGGAGCGGGGCCGCGGGGAACGGGGCGGCTCTCAGGAGTCGTTGGGGCGCGGGGGGACCGGGGGCGGCCGGAGGGGCCGCGGAGTGCCGAGTGCGGAGCGGGGTCAGCCCTGCAGCTCTCCGTCCTTCCCTGCTTCTCGCACTCTCCCTCCCTCTTTTCCCCCTTCTCTCTCCGCCCCTGCGGGACGCGCAGCCGGTCCCATCCGCTGTCCGGGCAGCGCCGCAGCGGGGCCAGGGGTCCCGGCCGGCAGCAGGACGTGGCCGGAGGCGGCGGGGCGGCCCCGGGCGCAGCAGTTGGCAGCGGCCCCTCACCGTTGTGGCTCTCGGAGCGGAGCAGAGCAGCACCGTGCCTCCCTTTGGGTCCCCGGGCCGTGCGGACACTCCCGGCCGGCTGTCCCGGAGAGCAGGGGTGCTCTCGCTGCCACACGCATCGCTCCTTCCCGCTGGGAACTGCCCCAAATGGCAGCGGTGCTTCACCGCGTCGCTGTGTGGTCTTGGTGATGCCGCGCATCAGGATGTCAAATTCTCGCCTGGTTATTCCCAATGGCTTTTCTTTACCGTTTTAAAAACTCCTTATTAGTAATAATTTCTGGCTGTTAGTCAATAATTACTTAGTAATAATTCCTGACCGCTATCCTGCTGAAAGAGCCCTAGCAGTGGCCCGCTGTGCTTGCTAGAGAAGTTTTACTTTACAGAAAGAGATGTGCGTAGCCATGACAAGTGCCGTGTCCAGCCAGGCTGTGCTGGTCAGCCTGCTTTTCCTTTGTGCTCAGCACTTCAGTTGCTTAGGCTGTTTTTCTTTCCCATTGAGCTTCGTGGCAGAACAGTTCTGCACATGCTTCAAAATCTAACGGGAAACAGGAGAACGTGACATAAGCAAAACAGAGTTGGAACTTGACCTTCCAGTGAATGAGGAATGATGGATAGGGTGGAGGTAGCTTATGAAGTGACTTGAAAGCAGTTAATTAGCGCTGTCCTAGAAGTTAACTGTACAAGTGCTCTAAATAGATCTGAAGGAAAAAAGTGCACTGTTTAAATCTGAGAAAAGACTGTCAGAATTGAAGATGAGTGGTGTAGGTGTTCAGATATAATTGTATAAATTGATGTTGTATATTTGCATAGAAATACTTCTCTTCCTGCGTGAATACCAGCAACTGTTTTGGGTCTTAGTGAAGCCTTCTTTAGAACCTTCTGTTAATATTTCAAAATCTTAGCTAAACTGTAGTTCATATAACATTTTACTGACTTTTCTTCTCCACTAAATTCTACCTTTTAATTTAGGAGACTCCTAGGTTAAAAAAGTCTATGACTCTACTCTTCTACACTAGAAGACTAGTCTTCTTTCGTATTTTAGTATATGAAAGAAATTATGAAAACAAGTTTGAGGGTTGTGGAATTACTTAGGCAAGATAAATTTTGTCAAATGAGCTAGTTCTAAAAGGACCAAAATATTTCTGTGTCTCAAGATGCAGCCTACAGTGTCAGGACAAGGAGGAATGGTTTCAGACTAAAAAAAAAAAGTAGGTTTAGATTAGATATTAGGAAAAAATATTTACAGTGAGGGTGGTGAGGCACTGGAACAGGTTGCGTAGGGATGTTGTGGATGTCCCATCCCTGGAAGTTTTTAAAGACAGGCTGGATGGGGCTTTGTGCAACCTGATCTAGTGGAAAGTGTCCCTGTCCACAGCAGGGAGGCTGGAAACTAAGTAGTCGTTCAAGTCCCTTCCAACCCAGGCCATTCTGCCATTCTCTGATTCTACAGTTAGACTGACATATTAGAGAACATTTGAAGTTTGATTTTCTTTGCATCAATTTGACATCGATCTTTCATCTATAATTAAGTATTTTAGCTCTAATCCATCCATAACGTGAAAGTCCATTCACATAAGTTCTTCTGGTGTTGGACTTAAGAGCTACCCTGTGATGCTCATAGTCATGCCACAGAGATCATAAAATACTAGACTTTGATATTGAGACTATTGAGGCACTGTCTTTAACTTGAAAATAATAAAATTTGGTGTGGGAGGGAGGAAGGGAAAAAACATTATCTGGAAGTCTGTTTTTAAAAAGAGGAGGGAGTGAAGGCTGTTTGTAGTAGAAAAGTTAATGACACTTATGCTATAGTTAAGGTTTGTTTAAGGACCATCACAGACAATTGTACGTTCACTCATTTCTTAATGAGAGACATAGAAATTGTTTCTGAAAGACCATAAATACTTCTAGCAGGAAGTAGAGGTAAAAAATTAAGGGTAATATGAAGGTGTGTTGCAGCTAAGTACAAGGAAAATCTGTGCCACACTGTTTGCTTGTAACTGACATCAAGACAGAATAGTTGATTTTGTTTTTTAAATATTAAGGTGACCATGCTGTTCTGTGTGTCAGAATCAAGAACGTAGCAGTAGCTGTGGCAAAAGCAGCTAGACTTCACCTCTTTCAAGCACAGGAATGGCAGAAGCTGGAGAACAGTGTCCAAGACCACAGCTGTACAGAGAAGTTCTCTAAAGCTCAGCTGACAAGTGAGTTACTGAGGTTTTTTTCTCCTTACAGCGTTACTGTGTATTTAGAACTCTGTTATCTCTGTGTTTAGAATATTCATTTCAGTGAATTTGGACTTTGCATCAACTAGGACTTTGGTCTTCTACAATTAAAAATACAACAAGGAAACAAAATTTCTTTCTTTGTATCACTTCAGAAGAATTTGTTTGCAAGTTATGATTTAATGTGCTGCTGGAAAATGAAATCCATGGCAAACAATGGCTTTAGTGGAAACAACCAAACTTTATGACCAGTTCCAGTTCATGCTTTCACATGTTCACAACTCAGAAAGGGTACATACTTGGCTGAAGTTTTCATTTAGTCATTCAGTACAGAGAATTTTTTTTAGCTCTGCTTGGAATAAATGTCTCTTTTTGTTTGTTTTTTATTTTAATCTCAATTTTTCTATAAAATAGGTTATCTTGGGTATGAGAGAGAATTTACAAAGAATAGCCTTGTACTAAGAAACTGAAGAACTAAAGCTGAATGTTTGGGACAGTCAGATGTGTGACTTGTTTGAGTTGTGACTTGTTTGAGTTTAAATTGTGACTTTCGTTGCAGTGGAATGAAAAACAAACTAGAGGCAAAGTGATGGAATCTGCTGCAGTTGCCTCTAAACTTCTGAAGCAAATGCTTGTAAGGTGGGAGCATGTAGGCCAAGTACAAAGTAAAAGGGCAATTTTGTACCTGTAAACCTTCTCTTTCACAACCTCGTGATAAACCTTTTTTCTCTACAAAAATTATTCTGCATCATGCCACCTTACTTTATAACTTTCCTCTATTATAACTTAATGCTATTTCACCCTTTACTTTTATAACTTTATATTTGTTACTGAATCTCACATTCAGCAGTTTTTAATGTTTGAGCTAAGAGTTATATCAGTATAGATTAGGTAGATTGTCTTTTTGTCTCTTGTTTACAAAGGAACGTTTCCCACTTGTCAGGAGGCTCCCATTCTCCGGTTCCATGGAAATGGCATTTTTCAAAGTGGAGAAAACAAAAATAAAATTGTATTTTCATGATAGCACAAATTTGTCCTGCTTCAGTGTATAAAACATGTTAGAAAAATTTTAATACAGTATTAAAAATGAACTAATCAGGATAAAGCTTAACTTGAGTATCCATCTAAATGTGAAAGAGCAGTAAAACACTGAAGCATTGAGTTACGTAACTAGAAGACAGACTAAAATAATTTTTGCACCATTTGTTTATCATAATGGTATTTAAAGCATAAATTTTCCTCTAAGAAGTTAAATTAGTATTAGATGCTTCATTCAAATGTATTGAAAAGAGAAGCTGTAGTCACTTTAAATACATTTCCTTTGTGTAGTCAGAATCCCAAGAGTAACAGATTGATCATTTGTCTTAATGAAACCTTACACAGAGGTCACTTGTAGGGATGTGGTTTCCTTACCCTTCATCAGAGCTGCACAAAAGTGCTGCTGGAATAACTGGCAGTTGGTCTGTCGTTCCTGACTTGTCCCAGCAGTGTACTCACTGTTTTCTGCTCCATTAGGAGTTGTGTGACCACAGGGTGAGTTGGATTTCTTTGCTGATCTTGGGCAAAATCAGTTGCTTTTCTACCTCTGAGTCTGCTTACAGATTTGACAGGGAACTGACTAAACACACTCTGTGTGATCCCTTACTCTTGGTACAAATAACATTGTGAGAACTCAGCTGAGAGGTGACATGGGGAGTAAAGCAACTCCTGTCAGCCACAGTTTGCCTCTCATTTGGAATAAGCACTATATGCAATTCTGGTTTGTATGTCATCCAAATCTATACCTCATGACAGTTGCTGCAAGGACACACGCTGCAATTCTTCTGGATTCTGACGTTGCTTAGTTCATACCTTAAGAGAACAGAAAATTACTTCTTGCAGTTGAAACACGTTTATTGAAATGACATTGAAGTTTTTCACAGGTGGGCTTCAAGTTAGAAACTTGTTCTAAATTTTATCTACAAAATATTTAAGGAAAATGAGGTTGTATGTTTGCTGCTCTTATTTAAAAAGGCCTTTCACAAAAGAAAACATGTTTTGTGGATTTTTTATTAAATTTTTCTTCATCCTTAGCCATTGTCATCTTTATCTATTAAGGTGAATTATTCTGTTATTGTTATTTCTCCTGCAGAGAAATGATTGAACTGATTAGCACTCAAGTTCAGTAGCCAGTGTGACAGTGCTTTTGTTTCTTGCAATTTCAGCCAAACATAGGGAGCCGCAGATTTCATTTGCATCAAGAGTTTCTTTTGAAGAGACTCTGCCTGGTTAACTGTTGTTTTTAGGCAATAATAGTGATGAGATAGCAAGAAGATGAAACATTAGTATCTTATGTAGTCATTTTTAAATGTAATCTGATTTGAAATATGCAGCTTAATTACACAATGGTTTCTCATCTCAACTGTCAATTGAAATTCAGTATATTACAGTTTGGGTAAGATACTGTGAAATAATACTTATTTGCACCTTTTAAGCATGTCATGGTGTTTTTTACTGAGCTCACATGCAGCTGTTCCTGTTTGGTGCTCTAAATCTCTTTGAAAGCAAAGTCAAGTAAATACAAAGGTATTTTTCATGCTGCAGAAGTACCTGGTAGGTAGTACAGAACAGCTAATCCTGTCAATACAGAACTAGAGGATGGAAATGTGCTGAGCAAAGGACATAGTTTGCACTTTCTGGCTTCTAGAAGGAGGGAGCCCTCCCAGCAGAGCTGAAAGTTGGGATGCAATGTCCTCCCCAACTCTTGCCCAGACCTGCTTGAAACAAAAGCTGAAGTTGGAAGTCTGATCTCTGGTGTTATGGATAGCTTTCAAAACTCAGTATGTCTTCTACTCTGTGTAGTTTATAACCCGTATATGATGCTGTGGATTTAAGTTTTCTCATCATTCAAACATGTGTTTTCTAAGACCAAACTAATCAAGTATTTACTCCTATTTTTGTTTTTTGTGCTTTCTTCCAAAGTGACTGTGAACCACACAGAGCAAAATCTGACAGTGTCCCAGATTCCTTATCCGGAAACATGGTATGTGTTTTATGTAGACAAGTTTACCTGCGAAGAGAATTATTCTGAATCCGAGGATATTCAGTTTGAAATGATCTTACTAAACCCAGATGCAGAAGGGAATCCATTAGATCACTTTAGCGCAGGGGAATCTGGTAAGATTTTTTTTCTTAAAATTAGATTTGTAAGTTAAGGATCTGATAATTCAAATCAGTGCTTACTGTGCTTGGAAGAGTATGGGGAATGGATAGCAGAGCCTCTTATATTTCATATTCTGGTTTTGTACAAAGAGTAAACTTGAGTTCATTTTCTGTCATCACAGAAAAATCCTTTCCTTTCCCTAGGCTGACTTTCCAAAGCTTGCCTAACTAGAAGTGTAGATGCACAAGGAAAGTCAGTGTTAAAATCCTTGCTGACAGGTATTTTGAACATGTTGAAATTGTAATCTTCCACTTGAATGTAAACTTAATACCTGATTTTAATTAATTAGTGGAATTCTTTAAATGTGTGAAACTTGATTCTGTGCAAGAGGAGTACATGTATGATAAAACATTTTGCCAGTACAATTTCAGTTCAGTGTTTAGATCTTTGTAAGTATCTTAGTCACAGGCTGTATATTAGCTTTGTCAGGCCTGATTTTGTTATAATTAAGAAACGTAATTTTAAATCTTTAAGCTTCCAAAGAAAAACTCAAGAGAGCAGCTAAAGAAATGCCTGTATAAAACTGTATGCTTTGGACAATCCAGCTTAATGTATTCTTGGTTGCAGTGAGTAGCATCACTGCTCTTTGAGGTGTTGAGGCCTCATCAACATGTCACTCACCTGGGTCTGTTGTGAGGAAAGGGCTCTGAAGGCTTAGTCTGCCTTCCTATACAGAGTGAACCTGAATATACCAAGGATGAGCCTAATTTCTGTGCTGGAATCAAATCCCTGCTGTCACTCATGACCTCAAGAGAATATAGAGGCAACAAAGGCAGCTCTGTTTTTGAAAGAAAAAATACTTACTGGAATATTTAGCAGAATCTGCAAGAAAGTAGCACATTAATAATCTGGATTTCAAGGTTCATAATCAGACTTAACCTCTCTCTTTACCTTCTTAATTTCTATAAACTTGCTAGTTTTTATTTGGTGAATTTGGCTTTCAGAAGTGAATTCTAGGTTAATTTACTTAGTCTCAAAGAGGAGTGATAGCTAAAGGAGTAACTGCTAAATCAAGGGGCAAAGCAGCTGCATGGCCTCATATGGCCCAGTAAAGGGATGTAAGAGTCCTCCTGCATCACAGAGGCATCTCAGCTCTGTATTAATTTTGTAGGAACACTGAGCACTGGGAAGCAGAACTCTGAACAGCTTATGTGCTGAGTAAGAAGGTGTGTAAATGTGCTGGATGTATGTATTTAGGGCTAACAAATAGGAAGGAAGGTGAGCTGTACGTGCCATGTCTTTCAAAGTTGCAGAAGAACACTTCTGTTAATTTAGAATTAAAACCTGCATTGTTGCCATGAATCCTGAAGCTATGTGCACTGGTCTACTTTCAAAGAGCTGAGGAGCATTTAATCTGTCTATGTCTTTTTTAATTTAATTTAATGCATCTCTGGGAAATAGTCTTTGCCATTTTTCCATAGAAACTTAGAATGAGATGGTATCAGAGAGAAGATCCAGCTTCATTTCTTGCATATTTCATGCAGGCAACTAAAAATTACGTAGCTGCAGAAGGTTTTTAGTTTAGTTAGGTTTTCCTTCACTTGAATTACTTTAGGCTGTGGCCTGGCACAGGATGTCTCAAAAATTAAATTAATAATAAGGAAAGCATGAGAGAGAACTTAAGGCTTGTGATTAAGACATTTGCCTTCAGAGATGAGGGGGCCTGACTTCTGATCCCTGGCAAATAGTCTTATTTTATATGGTAGGGTCTTCTGCAAAAGGTGTTGTGTCAGTGGAATCCAGGGTTTCTAAAGGCAGATGAACAGGTAGCATTTTGAAGAGCTTTGAAGTAAGATATTTCATGTAATATTTTACTTTGTCTGTCAGCTAGGTTCCTTGAAAGTCAGGAAACTTAGAGGAGATAGGTAGAAAATTGTATTTTTTATTGTGGGTTTTTAGTGCAGCTTTCTCCTAACCCCTTCTGGTCTCAAACTAATAATCGACACTCTGTCTATGGTAGGAAGGAGTGTTTTATCATAAATGCTTAGTCTTTTTTAAAAGCTAGTTGATTTTCTTGAAGAGTTTTCCAAGGGTTCTCACTCATCATGGTGAGAAATAACTTTTACTTATGCAGTTGTTTCCAACTTCAGTGGGTATCTTCTGAAGTAGAAAGAAAGATTTGATCTATACCACATACTTTTGTCATTGATAAATCATGCACATGTATTGGTGGACAAAAGAAGCAGAGTGGCCTGGAATTTTTAATCCTCTTCATTACCTTATGCTCTTTTTCTCCCATTTTCCTGTGTGTATGTCCAAAATGCTTCATTTCAGTCACAGAGGCTATAATGCTAGCTACTATTCAGAACTCATCCAGTTCTAATGTTTTTCACCTCAGATATTGAAATGTGTATACTTGCTCTTCCCAGTCTCTGGAGGGAGCTGGCTGGGAGCATTTACCAGTTATTTTGCTGCTGGAGAAAAAGCTTTTTTTAGAATCTGATTCTATAGGCACCACTAAATTTCATGAAAGGGTGGAGAATAAAAGCAGGTTTTCTATGAGAAGTGTTTGTTTACCTGTTTTTGCTTGTTTCTTACTGGCTTTGACCCTTTGGGAGCTCCCAATTGGGTTGCAATGCTTACTGACAGTAGAAAAGGTTTCCAGCATCCAGGTCTTAAAGGAAGTATTTTACCTGACTACTGCCAGACTGAAAATTAGGGGACTTCTGTTTTATAAATAATCTAAAATAATTGGGGATTTTTTTTTAGACAAGTGCAAATAATGCATGCTAGGAACGAATTACTGTTTTCTGTGCTACTTTTCTTTATCTCTAAGTTTTCAGACATGATCAGCTGGGCTTCCTAAGCTGCTTTATGTGGAGGAAGGGTGACACCCAGTGGTTAAAAAGATTTAATAGAAGTCTGTTTGGGGTTTCTCTCACCTCAGGTTGTGCCTTTAGAGAATCAAACAAACAAGCAAAAATAGCTAAAAATGAGTCCTTTAATAAATATGTTACTTACTGATTAAATGAGCTACAGTTGTTTTGTGTGTATCAAGAAACTGTGCACTTTATACAGGTCTGGTAATTGCTGCAAACCTCTCTGCTCAGAAAAGGTATTGTTGATTAAAAGCACTTTGTCAGATCAAATAATAATCAGTTCTTTGATAAAATTCACTGATTTTCTTGTATAAAATTGACTAGGATTTAGATCTTTTATGTGTACTATCACTTTTGGGTAACAGTTGTTAGGTATTTCCCAATGATTGTATTAAAGGAAACCCACTATATTGGGTTTTTTTAGTTAGTTTTACAAAGAAACATTGCTACTAGGAATAACTAAGCTGTATTTATTTTTTTCTTTTTTTTCCCACAGGATTACATGAATTCTTTTTCCTGCTTGTCCTTGCATACTTCATAACTGCATGCATATATGCACAATCCCTGTGGCAAACAATTAGGAAGCGTGGACCTATGCATGGTGTATTAAAGGTGTTGACAATTGCATTACTGTTGCAGGCTGGTTCAGCATTTGCCAACTACCTGCATTTCTCAAGGTACCTTTGATCCTTTTTTGCTTTCAGTCTTTAGACTTTAAGAACAATGTGTTGTAAAAATCAGTACATGATTTGCCTGGGAGGAGGGATTGTGGCAAAAGACAGGACTGACTTTTGAACTGCAGCATTATCTAAATGTACTTGTGAGAGAGAACACCCATTTAAGACACACCCACTTAAAAATGCAATCTTTTTGTTCTTCTTTCAGTTATTCTAGAGATGGGATAGGAGCTCCTTTTATGGGAAGTCTGGCAGAATGTGAGTCTGTCCTCTGTTTCTTACATATTCCTACCCGTGAGTCTGTATAATACATAGCAAATGCTGTTGCTGGACTATACTATGATATTGGATCACATAGTTTGATTTTCAATATAAAATACTAAAAATTGATCCTTCAGAAAAAAACATGTTTTATGTGTTTGCAATAACTGTATTTGAAGTTACACATCTGTGATATTTTTTAGGATTTTTCAAAGGGTTTTTTTGTCTCTAGATTCCTTGCTACAAACACTTAAAAGACATGAATATCACCCGAACAGGTTTTTCAATACATTGAAGAGTTTGGGGAGTTAGATCTAGAAAGCCAAGCTTTTTAGGAAACTTAATCATATTTTATAGGATTTGTCATTTCACTGACAAATTTAACAATTATTAAATGGACAAGTATTTTACAGCACAAGTTTTGTGATTAGCATGATGCAGAAAATGCTTATGTGAAAGTTTGATGCTAACAAAGCATTTTTCTCCACTTTGTATAGATATTCCAAGTTCTCACTGGAACTAAATTTCTGTAGCATACCTTTCCAAAATGCACTAACTTAATCTTGTTCCATTCTTCATTCTCCATTATTGTTGGATAGTTTGGGGTTTTTTTTCCCTGCAGTTCACCTTTGAAGAATTGGGGTTCATTCCAACCAAATACATTTCCTTTTGACTGGCTTGAAGCACCCCAAGAAAGCAGTACTGCAGTAGTGTGATAGTGTTGGGTGGTAACAGCCTATATAGAGAAATATTCCCCTTTGTAGAGTTCATTTAGAAGGCTGCAGTTGGAATTATCAGCCTCTTGATGGCACCTGGCACCACAATAATTGCCTCTTTCTTGTTTTAACCATTTGAGCTGGCAGCTCCTTGCAGCCACTCCAGCAGCTGTGTAATTAAACATTCCTTCTCATCTCATGAAATGAAATAAAATGGAGAATATGGAGGTAGTCATAACTCCACCCCATTGTTAACTATCCAGCCAGAACTTGAGAGAGATTTAGATTTCTTTTTTCTTTTTGTATATGTGTTGTAGTCAAAAAGCCCACTTTTATTTATTAAGATTATAATGAATATTATTTTTTAATCAGTAGCTGAATTTCTTAAATTCAGCTAGGGAAGTTTTTACTTTCCTACTGTCTCTGAAGTTGGTGGTTCCCAAAAGAGTAAGAGAGCAGAAGTAATAGAAATGTGGAAAGCTTCAGTGGCAATTACAGTTCTGAAGAATGGCTGATGACAAGTAGTATAGTTTGAAGGGGAAAGATGATACCATTTTTCCTATATGGGAGAAAAATTTGAGTTAAAAATAAATGTTAAAATTTCTATTGATTGCAGTGTGGCCAGAATACCTTTCTAAAAACCTGTTTAGATGGTTTAGATACCATCTCAAGCAATTATTCTTTTCCTAGTATGATATAGTCTTTGCTGTGTGTAAAGAGCTGATCCTCAGTCTAATTAACCATCTAACCCAATCTCATAAATCACACAAATAACACTGACACTCAGAAGCCTTGCAAGTGCTGTCCTTTTAACTTTTGGTAAAAATAAAATGTGAAGAGTCAAAGACCATTATTGTGTCTGTTGAAGAGTCCAAAAAGGTGAGCTGTGATGAAATCAGACAATTGGTATCAGCTCAGTAACGTGACTTTACGCTAACATTGAATATTGTGAGTTCATTCTCATCTTTAAAATTTTTCTCACCCTTTTTCTTTCTAGCAAAATGTATAGGATGTCAAAGATTAAAGCTGGTTGTGGCTTATTGCCTTACACGAATTTATGTGGGAATCCACTTGAATTGTTACCACACTGAAGCAGAGCAGTAGCTATATCCATGATATGATGGAGAGATGATGTTTGGCTATAATAGGGCAGCTTATCTTAAGGAATGACAGAAAAGAAAATGCTCCCTAGAACACACAGAATTATTCCGTAATTTTTCTAGTTTAGATTTGTGACACTGGTTTGGCATGCCTTTGGTTCATGTAACAATTCTTTTTCTAGTGAGTACTGTCTCTCAATGAGATAGCATTGGAAAATAACTCCATGATCTTTTTTTTTTTGCCCAAAATCAGTGCTGGTTGATTTTATTAAAGAATTTCCAATTTTGTATTTACTAAAAGCTCTTGACAGATCTTAAATAGCAAAGGTGTCTTAAAACATTAAGAAGCATTTAAGCATGTAAACTCTGAGAATGCCAAGCATATCCCAGGAATTACATTCTGAAGTCTGATTTATACCCTTTATTTTGCTAGTATTGCTGGATGTCAGGGAAATATTGTAGATGATCTTCTTTTGATACGCTTCCCTTGTATCCATATTAATTTCTGTATAGTGGCAACATTTCCTGTGCCAATATTTTTAGTAAATGTGGTATTTATCTTCTTTAATACAGTCTAGTTATGTAAAAGTAGAGCTTTACTTTTTTTTGTGACAGAAATATTATTCTTGTACCTGATAGTGTAAGTTAAAATTACAAATAAGGAACTAATTTAATTGAACTAAAATATTAATGAAGCAAAAAAGAAAGCATTGCTGTGTAGTGCCCCATCTCTAGTTTCTTAACCAAATTTACAATATACATAGCGTGAGAATGTATTTTTCTTTTACATCTCTGCTATGCCAGTACAATGAGTCAGATCCCAACACCATCTTTAAAATTGTTCATTAAGTCAAAAACTTACTAGGTCTAAAGCTAACAATTACCCAGAAAGAAATCTTCAGGTTTTTCTACTGTCAGTAGTGTTCAGCAAGCCTACAAATAAAGGCTTTAATATATCTTAGCTTAAAGTTTTCTTTATTCTGATGCAGCTTTAAACACAAGTTTGAGACACTGATTAAGAATGTAACTTTATGGAGTATGTGTTAATTGTTCCCAAACAGAGGTAAAAATGGACATAGCAAAATGAGGCAAAGGTACTTTGCATTTAATAAAATGAAATACAGACAAGTTGTTGATCTAAATGAAGTTTGTGTTAAGGTTATTCATTATATTTTCCCCTTTAAGTATCTCAGAGTGGAATTTGTCCTAAATATTTGTGCTTTCTTCTGGAAGCTACTACATCCTCAAGACAAAGTGCAATTAATTCAAAGTACAATGTAACTATCTGATTTTTGAACAAAAGTTCTTCAGAATGAAGAAAGGCGTTCATTTCATCATGTTGCATATTTGCACTATGATTAACATACATATGATTTTAGTTCTTTAGCATTATAAGTCTATTTATGCAGATGGACTCCTGAGCCCAGACTGCTCTGACACAAGAGTGGGATTTGGAAAGACATGGCACTGTGCCCATATTCTTGCAGATCTGCAGCATAACTGCAGGAAAGCTGATAGTAATCTGTTTGGTCACTGAAAACTCCACAAAATAGCCACATTTTGTGGCAAAGCAACCCCATCTAATCTAACTCATTAAAATTAAAAGGTGATACAGAGGCATAAGCATCCATTGTTCATTCGCAGGTACATGAAAATTTCTCTTTGATATAGGAAAAAACCCAAAACTTTATTTTTGTTGTAATTTTATTCATTTTCCTTTTGTTTTCAATAGTGTGCGACATAATCTCACAGATACAGATGCTGTACTTATTGTTGAGTCTGTGTATGGGTTGGACAATAGGCAGAATGAAGAAATCTCATGGCAGACCTCTTCAGTGGGATTCCAGTCCAGCATCTACCGGCATTGCTGTAGTAGTTGTTGTTACACAGGTTTGCATTTCATATTCCTTCTTACACTGAGGTATACAGCTGCTATTAAGTATGACAGAACTGTGAACCAAATAATTTCAATATTTTAATTTTATGAGGGAGGAAGGGAGTATCAAGACTGGAAAAAAGCCCACAGCATAATGTGCACCCAGTATGTCTAATAGGTAACACCACCTTCTCTTTACTTGAACAATTTAAGATGTAGCTCCACAGTATGTTTTTGTCTAGCAGTAAAACCACTTAAGAAGTTCCCACAGTTTCCCAAACTCCTGATTGTGCCAATTGTTTGTAGCATTGTACTGTGAACCAGATTACTGGAACAACCTAGACTGAAAAAAAAAAAGTAAAACAAACTTTTTTTACACATTTTATTGATCTGATTTGCAATGTGGTCCTATAAATAGTTGTAATCAGTACAGCTGGAGCATTGTGGTAATCAGTACAGCTGGAGCATTGTGAACTACATTATGCAGGTTGACAACCAGCAGCATGGGAGGAAGGACGAGAAAAGTTGCTGTGACAAAATCTTTGTCACGAAAACACAGAAATCATCAGTGCCCTCCTTTTGGAAGCACTCAAATAGAATGTCTAATGGTCCCTTCAATCAATATAAGGAAGGGAATTCTTGAAAGGTTCATGTGCAGGATTGGTCTTGCAAATATACAAATGGTCTGACACATAATTTCATTCAAATATTTTCCATTAGTATAAATTAGAAAGTTAAGTAAACCAGTAACTTAAAAGTAAATTGTAATGGAAATCATTCAACCCTGGTGGTGCCTTTTGTAAACAAATTTTTTTAAATCACATCATAAAGACGAGTATCTGAAAACCATTGAGAAAGAGAAGGGAAGGGAGAAACTGGAGACAGTAATGAGGAAGAGATTATACTGAAGATTTTTGTGCCATTTGGGTAGTATCTGTAATTAGTGCTGCTTCTAAACTAAATAAGTGGACTTCTAGAACATTAGGAATAGCTGGGAGCTGGTGTTTCTTGCTAATTAAGAATATAAACCAAAGGCTGTTAAGGTCAGTGGGACTGTTGAAATTTAAAGATGGGTGTCAAAGTAAGGTGGAATGAACCTATCCAGCACCAGAAATTTTACATGCTGGTAGTAAAGAAGACTTCTGAAGTATTTAATTTCATTCATGCTTCTGCACTTGTGCATATGTATGAGTATGTTAGTACTCTGCTGCTTGAGACTGGAAACTTCTTCATTGTTGTTTCCCTTTACTATACATAGAAAAGACAGTATAATCAGCTTGATCTTATTTGGGTTATTACTTATGGTAAAAGTGGGGCAGGCATCATACATGTGAGCTGCTTCCCCAAAGACTGGTCCATTAGACATCTTTTGGTTCTTGGTGCAGCACTGGAACAGCATTAGCACACAGTTGTCTGTCTTAACTTTTCACCAGTAAGGCACAGCTCTACCACATTTCCTTCTGTGTACCATTGGGAGTGTCAGGTTTGGCAGGAGTCTTGTAGTAACACAATTGTAGGAACGCAATCTAGATACTGGAATATGTCAAGTGATTTTGCGCCTCCATATCAGTGTCTACTGTCTCCAGCAAAATTTCCCTCACACCAAGAGTATCCCTTCTGGAGAGGATATTTTCCATCTCATGGTTCAGTACATACAAAATACACCTTCTGTCAGATTTGTTCTCCTAATTGCAGAGTGCAGCTATTGGGCTTAGGGAAACAGGATTTAGACAGTTTTTCACTGGTCTGTCTAGATTGACATGGATGTTTGACCTGCTATAAATGCTCAATTGGCCCTTTTAATGGCTAAAAACTTGGAATAACCTTCTTCCTGTTCTGATCTTTCCCAGAGATTCTTATGGGAGAACCAGCTTCCTCTTATGCCAGAGATGGGACAAACTTCATGTGGATAATCAGAGATGTTCTGAGGGCTTGCTGTAGAAGCTGCTGGAAACTATGTGCATTAACCTAATGCAGCAGATAGAGATTGCACCATGTTAGTTTTACTGACATTCTCCCATACCTGTCCTCATCTTATCTTCAGGAAAGTCGAGAAAGTGGACAGCCTGAGAAAACATGTTGTTCTTCAACTTAAATGCAGTTTTGACTTGCAAGCTATCTAAGCCTGTTTGCCTACTACTAGTTCAAATTGCTCAGCAGATTTTCAGGGGTTTTTCTCCTCTTGGTACTGATGCTATGGATTTTTTCTTATTGTTCTTTCAGAAGCACTAGCAATTTCCTGGTCTGTGTTCATGGGTTGCCTTCACTGGCAGGTGGACACAGCCTCCTAGTCAGCAAATGTCATGTGGTCTTTGCAGCTGCAAAGAGGTAACATCTCAAAGGAGGGACAAGTCTGCCATTTAGCATCTCCCTTTGCCTTAACTTGTTCTTTATTTCAGCCACAGAATAAAAGATTCCCAGGCTGCTGTGCATCCATTAAAAATTACACTTTCTGCTGCTGAATCACAAACCTTGTACAGAACTTTATTGATGGCAGGCCCTTGCCATCACATAGACCTGAGCAGTTTCAACTTTCAAGGCTGATCAGACTGTAGGCAGTGATTCTGGAAAGATAGCTGATTGCTCTGAACCTGATCAAAATGGCATAGAATCTTACTGCATTAGACATCACCCTACACAGGGGTTCTTAGGTGTGCTCAGAATGAGCTCTGCCTCTGACCTTAGATCTAAACCATTTTTTGCTGTACTGCATTGCATGACATCAGATAACTCAGTACTAGATATGGTTGGGAACAGCTAGTTTGCCTTGCTGCTCCTTCTAATTTCCCTTTTGCTTCCCCCTTCCCCTTGCCTCTCAGGGGTGATCTGTCCCATGAGAACCTGGAGATTGATACCTTATCTTGGCTTGTCATAAAGTCAGTGTTGGCATCGTGGAGGGAAGGAGGAGTTCACCATAATAGTTTTCTCATGACATGAAGGAAGAGTTCTTCTTCATATGGATGTGGAGGTTCTGCTTGTATATCTGGAACATCAGGATGATATCCATGGCCACCATTCCTCTAGTATTTGAAGAGAAGGCCAGTACTGGACAGTGGTTGGTGTCCCCTGTGAGCCAGGATAGGTCAGGATTATATACAGGTAAAGTCAGGCATTTTGAACAGTGTGTTATGTAAACAAGGAGATGGTCATTGTGTTCCACCTTATGAAGAAGCAGTGACTTTAATGTTGGACATGGCATAGTGTGAGTCAGCTCTTTAGCTTCCTCTCTTATCCAGTTCTTTTGTCTACAGCCTAAGCACAGTTGTTCTTCTGGATAACAATTAGAATTGCCCCCCCTTATTTCTTCTCAGACCTCAAACATAATTCTGCTCACTGCCAACAAAAGATGTCTCTGATATCTACTTCAGCTGGTTGATGTCTGGTGCATTTAAGTTGGTTCCTGATATTGCAGCTAAGTGAGCTGATACTTGCCTTTCTGTGGTCAAGGTAAGGGACCTTAGGATTCCTTGACCTTGATTTCTCAAATTTTAATTTTATTTTTTTTTATTTCACAACCAAAGAGATTTTAACTTCAACATCATACTTGTATATGAAGGTTTTTCTTCATTGAAAACAGATTGTGTAGTCCGTTTTTACCTAGAAACACTTGGAAGCACAGTTTTGTATAGGATCCTGCTTTTCCCAGGTGAGTGAGAACAGCGTCAGCTCATAGAAAAGGCAATGATACATTTACTTTGTCCAAGTTTACACTGTGCTGCACTGACAGTTCCATCTCTGCCTCTAACACCTCTGCCTTCTGCTTATTTTGGAATAATCTAATGAAGCTGAAGGAAACTGGACTTCTGTGATCTCACATTCCTGTCACCATACACAGCCTTTGATCAACTGATGTTGTGTTGTTTACACTCTTTAAAGGGCTGGTCCAGAACACACTCTGCTCTCAGACACTATTATCCTATGAGGACTTGGGCTTTGTTCTCATGATCCCTTTACTCCAGCTCTTTGTCATCTTCCCATGAAAGTGCCTTTTTTCTTTGCTGTTACCCTTGGTGTAGACTAAGGAAAATTCAGACCTTCATGAGCTCTGGCTTTTAAGGTAAGGTAGGTTCTAGTGATATTTTCTTAGAGCAGTATCACAGTTCTGTCTCCATCAGCCTGTATGGCTTTCCCCCAGGTGCTTGAGTCAGGAAGAGTCTACACATAAGTTCAGGGAGCCTTTTATTTTCTCAAGCAGAATATGTACAGTCCAGGGAAGTTAAATATTTTGCCCGTTCCCAAATGTAAATATCAAAAGGAAAAATGCTCACAAAACTGCAGTGATTCTGTAACTGGTAGAACCGTTGTTCGTTGTCTAAGCATGTTCTAACTGGACTGAAATAACTTCTGTGATAGGAATTCATCAATTTCATGCCAAAACTAGTGCTGCAGATGCGATGTTACCAAACACTGTGCTGTATCTCAGGGTTTCAGGAGCAGTTTAGTCTTACTTCAGTCTTACTCTTTGACAGAATTCTCAGTCATGTAACTTGATCATTTGAAGATGTTTGCTTGAAATCGCACTTTTTCTGATCATTATGGTGAGAACATTTGAAGCCTGTTGGTCAGGTTGTGTGCTAGTAGTCAGTGATGTTGAAAACACGCATGCTTTATGTCTGTCCCTCTCCCATCCTTCCATTTTCCGTCCAGTTGGTTGAGCAGTGACTGAAGTGAGAGCAGCTGTGAAATGACAGGGCTGTGTCCCCCTTAGGTAAGGGAGGGGGAAAGGAGGAGAGTACTCTGAGGATATTCTAAGCACAAATTATTCTAATACTCAACTGATGAAACTCAAGGCCACCCACCTTTGGAAGGCTCAGGTGGATTACACATTTTTTTAAAAGTTAATATTAGGAACCTTTTTGTCTTTATGTAGTGAGAAAGCCTTTGAATTTGTTCAGAAAGGAATTTGACTAATTTATATTTCTAAATTGAGCTATACAATGTCTGCTTCTGAAGACCTTCAGAGCTACTTCACTCATCAAATTTGCCTACCTTTCTTTAAAAAACCTGCTTTATTAGGCACCTGAAGCCTTAGTGCAAGTTAGATATGTGCAGTAGGTGGACTGGATTCCAGTGTATATTCAAGTTTTAAAATGCCATTCAGCTGCTACATGATGCTCCAAGAGTCTAAACTTTATACATTAGTTAGCAATTCACAATGTTAACACAATGTTAGCATTCCCAAAGTCCTGAAAAGGTGTTCTTCAGCAAGACACATTTTTTAATGCATCTGGTTGGGGTCTTCTTCACAACTAAGATCCAGAAACTGGGTGCTTGTTACTCTGTTTTTCCTTGAAGAATATCAATATTGTTTCTCACAGTGCTCCCAGAAAATTGGATTCCCCAGCAGATGGATACAATGCTGGGAGTTAAGAAGGAGGTTACTATCTGTTGGCTGGAGTGCTCGGCCTGATGTTGGAATGGCATTTGGAGCCTGTGACACTCCCTTTCCTAGACCCTAGGAGGTTTCTGAGCCAGGTGTTTGCAGAGTCAGGCTCACTCACAGTTTCTGACCTAGCTGACGCTGAATTCTTTTCTCCTCAATGGCACAGCTTCAATAGAAGGGGTGGAGAGTGGCCCACCCAAGAACACCCTATAGCCTGGCAGTTGCAGCACTCTCCAAGGAGGTGGGAGATGTGAATTGGATATCCTTTAGGCAAAGAAGGGAATTGTGGGAGATCCAAGTTCAACCTGGGTGAATGCTTGAGCCTTAAGGCTATTGTATAAAAGGGGCAGCAGCACCACCCTCTTACTTCCCCATCTTTGAAAAGAAAAGTGAATCCTGTTAGGATTTTGAAAGAAAAGGCGTAGTCGCCTGCCTTTGAAACAAGCTTTACAGGTTGTGGAGCACAAGTGAAAGGAGACACCTCCCTGTAGCTCTGTGAAATCATTTCAGTGGTCTTCCTGCAGAGTAGGATGAGTGAGCAGGTGATTATTTCACATTTTTTTCTAAGGTGCTACATTCCCTCTATCCACATTAGAGGAAACTTTAACTTTTCCAACTTTCTAAAAGTTACAGAATAGAAGAAGTGAGACACTGTTCCTGCCACTTGCAGTTAGAGTAATAGGTCACAGCAAAAGGCATTTCAGACTAGGGTCTGTTGGATTTTTTTGCTTAAGATGGCAGTCCCTAACAAGTAGACTGGAGCATTAGCAGATAACTTAATGTGTGGTGGGAAGGTTAGTTGAGAGTTAATGTAAGCTGGTTTACTCTAAGTGCACTTTGCTGTCGTTCTTTTTCAGAGCTTCTTGTTAATTTGGGAGCAGTTTGAAGATACAAATCACCACAGCTACCATTCACACCATGGCTTGGCGAGCGGGCTGCTCATTGGCCTCAGAGTCTGCCTAGCTCTGTCCCTGGCTGCTGGGCTGTACCAGATTATCACAGTGGAGAGAAGCACACTGAAAAGGGAGTTCTACATCACCTTTGCCAAAGTATGGCTTACATCAAGCAAACTGATCCCTTTGTCTGTAAATACAAGTGGCATGCAGTTGACTGAAGCACTAAACTCTTTCCCTCCATAAGAAAGTGTCTGACTTGATTATATTGCACCCTGTCATCATACTCTGAAGCAGGCATTTTAATTTGACAAGGAGTATAGAGCTTTTTAAAACAAATCCCACCTTTCATTGTGTGGTTTTCGTTATGTTGATTGAAAATTAAACAATGGGTTCATAAAATAGACAGAAATGTAAATGTAGTTCCTGTAACTGTCATCTCTTTCTTCTAAGCTGGCATGTAGTCATTTTACAGCTTACACTCATCTTCTTTTTTAGGCCTGCATTCTCTGGTTTCTGTGCCACCCATGTCTTGCAACCATTGCTGTAATATTCAGAGAATATCAAAGAGAAAAGGTATGTACAGGCAAGATAAAAGAGATGAAATTTGAATAGTAGTTGTTCCTCATGTTTAATGTTTGTTAGCAAACTCATGCTCTTAGGCTGTTAATCCTGTGACCCCAAAGCAACTTGAAAAGTCTTAGTCACACAGCTCTCATTGATGCTAATGTGAGTCATATTTTACAAAGGCATACAGGGCTCAAATCATCTAAGGGTAATCATTTCTGGGTTAAGGGAGGGAGAGGGGGAGATTGTTAAGTCAAAGGAAAATGTGGAGGGGGTGTTTTGTTTTATTGTTTGCTTGTTTGCTTTTAATTAAAAACACCTTGGAGATTCTTTTAACAAAGGGAGTAGAAAGATAAATCAGTGGATTTTTTTTGTTGTTTGCTCTTTAGTCTTCATCCTTTAAAAGCTTTATGTGGCTAAATAGGTCAGGGAACCTGTTAGAATACAGCTGAACTGTATTCTTTAGATCAAGAAGTCTGTCCAAATATGTTGTTTGGTTTGTAAGCTCTAAGCAGTTAAAAACAAAGGTGGACTCGCTCAGTTTCTCGGTTGCTTAAATGTGTTGGGAAGTGGAGAATTCTGTGTGTGCAGCCTGCCATGTTCAGATGAAGTGCACCAGTGTTCTCAGGTGATTGACTACCTCCTTCCAGCATAGGGTTTGCTTCTTTTCTTTATGCTTATAACCATCTGTGCATTTGTATGCAAATATATTCAGAAAATGAGCTTTTATTTGTGTAGAGGATATATAAGGGAAATAAAAAGGTTTTATTAAATATAAATGATAAATTAAATTCTGCATTTGATTTACAAGGAAAAAAAAAAGGAAATCTGGCAGAAAAAAATTGATTCCTCTAGAGTTACTAATGAAGAGACTTTTTGTTTTCCTTGATGAAAACATCCTCAGGGCAGGAGGACAGTCTCCAGAGGTACCAGTAAAGTGGTATATTTTTGCAGTATTTTGAGCTTACTAAGGAAGACTGCAATTGCTCTGCTCTTGTGTATGAGCAACTTTAACCATTATGTGCAGCTGCAGTTCCTACACTGTGATAATTCAGCTGTGTTTGCTTCTTCAAATGCACCTCAATACAATAAAATGCACAATCAATAAATACCATACTTATTTAAGAAAAACATGCATTTTAAAGGATTGCCTGCACATAAACTGAAGACTTGTGCCTTCTCAGAAACAAGTTACACCTTTAGGCATTTGATAAATATAGCCTTACACAGCTTTTGCAGATGAAGAGACTTGAACTGAAAGAGATCTGGCTAAGTGAGACTGACAAATCACTATCCTCAGCTCCATGATTTTGCTAGTGCAAAGTGTTTCCAAGCTTTCTTTCCCCCCCCCCCCCAGTCTGTTTGTTGTAAGAATAGAATATCTAAACATCACCTCTGCTTGTGAAACTGCATGGGTGGTGAATTGCAAGTCTGAAATTCCCCAGAACAGAGACTGCCAGAAGGGTTATGTGACTTGCCCAGGGCTATCTACTGATTTAAAAACACCCAGGTGTGAGAGTCTGATTCCTGGACTTAAAATGCATGTTCAAATCTTTTGTAACTGCAGCAGTGTTAAAGGGTTTAAAGTTAAACCACGAGCACTCATGCTGATAGAAATTTATTGTGGCTTGCCTAGTGAGAGAGTTTTTTTCACTTACTATTTCTTTCTCTCTTTTTTTTGTCTCTAGATTATTACCATAGGAGTTATCCTCTGTCAGTGCATCTCCATGGTTATCCTCTACAGACTTTTTCTATCTCATAGTCTATATTGGGAAGTATCTTCACTGTCATCAGTGACATTGCCACTAACAATATCCTCTGGACATAAAAATCGACATCACTTCTGAGATGTTTGGGAAGAATACATTACCTAATAAATGTGCAATAATGACTTGAATATGCAGGTATTTTTGTCACAAGTGTATGATACGTTGGTTTCACTGGAAAACTGAGTGATAATATCAAAGCACTTCACAGACCTTTGGTCTGACAAGATTCCTAGATAAATGTGTTAAAAATATTGTGGAGTTGAATACTGAAGAGTATTGAAAAATATTGAAGAGTTTTATAGATACTGTTTAACAAGTGGTGCTGAGTTGTATCACAGAAGAGTACAATGAATCTTTTCTCTCCCATTCACGGATACCAAAAATGCCATTACTTTGTGTCAGTACTAGGTTTGAAGGTCTTATAAAATGGAGTTCCTAAAACATCTACATGCTCAAACAAGTTTAAAATAGGCCAGTTGTGAAATTGGTGTGATGCATAACGATGAGTAAAAGGATTTTTTTTGTTTTCATGCTTTAGAAAAAATGCATTTTATGTATCAGTGTAAAAGATAGGGAAAGAAAGGAGGGAGAATCATCTAGAAAACATGTAAAATGTTCACAACTGACTGCAAGAAACCTTCCTTTATCATGGGTGTAAAAGAAAAGCCTTTTTTTGCATCTAATGTTCATACTGGTTAAAATCCTAATGGGAATGTAAATAGGGTTTATGTCTTCCTTTTAAAAAAAAAAAGTAAATGTAACTAAAAATTCCATCCAGTAATCAAGGTCTGAACAGTTTTTGAGGCTTGGAATACATAGCAACATAAAGGTAATTAAAACAGCAGCCTTGCATCTTTTAAAGGAGAAAAAAAAGGCAAAGAAAATGGAATGGGTGATGTGGTACTAGAATTTTAATCCTGATATAATTCATTTCTGTTACATTGAGGATTCAATCATAATTAAGCCATATACACAGATTAAATTAACAGAAGCATTTCAAATAAATGTTGGTTTCAGTCATCAACTACCCATGAATTCCTGCCCAAGGATACTTAATCAGGATTAAATTTTCTATGAATAATTGAAAAACAAAATACTCACTGGATTTGTTATAATCCATGTTGGCACTGGGTTCTAAGTAGTTGCCATCTTCCATCCATTGTAATAAAGCCATTCTACTTTGTGATGCCCTAGCATCCAGAAAGCCAGTGTAAATATATACTTTATTGAAGTGCCTATTTATAGAGTATGATTAAATCATGCTGACGCTTTTTTTCTTTCATAATAAGAACATACCTATTGCCATTGTGAGTGAAATTTTTCATTTTGAATTTAGCTTAGTTTAAACTTAGTACATGTGTGTTTCTTCACAAAATGGATTTTATTTTCTAGTAAATCAATGTTTGCTTCTTCTTAACAGTGTGCATTTGATTATGTCTCTGTGAAAATGTGAAGACACTGGTTCTATCTTTAAAATAGCCCTAAGTTTTCCATTTATCTTTGCCTCAGTTGTGAGCATAGTTGAAACATAAGTCTGTTCCATTTTAGTTTAGAGGCAAAACTAGATATTTGCCTTTGACTTAGGCAAAATGGCAACATGACAAAGTTGCTCATTAAATCATCTCTTTTCTTATTGTTTGTAATTCAGATCAAGAATGGCAGGTTGAGGCTGGAAAAGATGAGATATTATGATTTCACACCATCTTTAGAATGATTAAAAGATTAATTATTACATTCCTCTGATAACCACACAAAAATATTATTGGTTAAAACTTCAGTCTTTATTTCCTTGCTTATCTCTGTACTTTTCATCTTCTCAAGAAAAAAGCATCCTGGTTTTGATAAGTCTCCAATAATGTAGTAAAAGAGTTCTATCTGTCCTCATGTATAAGACTTCAAATTCACACATAAAATAGAATTTTCCGATAGACACAAGTACTGCTTTACAGTTTATGATCCATCGTGATAAAAGTTTTAATCTATGCAAAAAAACCTCTATGTGACTTTCAGAAGAGACACTCCATTTGTTTTGTTCTCCAGAAGTACTGTCTTACTTCCTGTAGTTCTTCTGACTTGGCTTGGTCAGTATTATGATGCCATTTACCTTATTTTCACTTTATAGATACACCCCACAACAAATCATGGTTCATTAGTGTAGACATGAAACATAAGGTGGTGTCTTTTGCATCTTTCCCACATTGCCCCATAGGTCAACAGTTTCTTAGTTTGGCATTGGATCCAGCTCCTTGGAAATAAATTTTAATTTTGCTATTAATGTTCTGTAGCAATGAAGTATCACTTTCTCAGGGGAAGTGGCACAAAGGGTTTCTTTAAATAATATTAAATTTATTATTAAATAATAAATGCACGCTGTAGCAGTGTGTCGCTATGACTGCAGTAATATTCAGTTAATTTGGTGCAGGGTATCTTGGGGAAGTAGGAGATCTTCAAGTATGACTAATGGACAAAGCTTCATACTTAACCTGTAGTCTGTGTTGTAACTTACTGCCTCTGATCATGCCTGAGGAGTGGTTCAAGTATGTAAAAGTCTCTCTTCTTTCTACTTACATCTCCTGGGAGAATAGCTGATAAAACCGTGCTTTTTTCATGCTTATCCACCCTGTTACCCATTCTATCAATTTGATTTCATAACTTCATCTTGAGAAAATAGCTTCCAGCCTTCTTCCAGTTGTCCTCAATCTGAGCATCCCAACTTGAAAACTGTATTTCTGAAGTGTGCTTTCTGTCACCGAAAAGAACCCCCTCATTTTCTGTCACACACTGAGGGTTTTGTGTGCATCAGCCGGTGCTGTGCCCCCATAGCCCCAGTCTGTACAAGGTGTGGGTTTGTGCCTGCTGAAAGCTGCCACACACCTGGGGAATGTTGAGGAAGGGCTTCAGCAGTTCCAGGCTCCCTGACACCTCACTGCTGCACGGGGCTGAAGCAGGGTCCCTCTGAAGGCAGCACTGCCCCTGTGACCATGGTGAGCAGCACTGTTGAGGTCAGAGCACAGCATCTCACCTGAGAGATTCCATGCAGTTCTGTTTTCAATAAAGTTGTGATTTCTGTGTCTGCTCATTCTATGGCCTGTGTGTTTCAGTGCTTGCACAATAGGAGTGTGTATTGACAAGACTGCAAACTGAAGTTGGTTCTGCTCTGAAGAAATCCACTTCTCTATGTGAGAGGGCATCACTTGGCCAGCCATCACCATTTCTGCAGATGCCAGTTTGTGTCAGCTGTGATTTACTGCTTGGGAGGGAGGATCTCAGTGCAGTAGACAAAAGGGCGAGATCACCAGCTCGATCTACGAGGCCCTCCACAAGCTCTCAGGAGGGATCTTCCTGCCTTGCTTCTCACCAGCCATGGAGACTGGAGCAGTTCTGGGGCTCATCACAAGTCTCCTCAGCTATTCACTCCCCTTCCACATAGACTTTGTTTATTGTATATTTATTTAAAGTGCTTCAGGTAGGAAAATGAATATTTACAATTAAATATATGTAAATGGAAGTGGAAAGACTTGATTGGAAAAATACCAAGTTTCTAATACATATTACAATACTAAGACCTCCCACACAAGATAAAGGTTTATAGCCAAATCTAAATGTACATTTCTTTCTGGTTCCTGTGCCAGTGGAAAGCCATGGAAGTATCAAGATCTTTTTGTTTGCTTCTCAGTCCTCTACAGAACTGGAAGAATGCTTTATTTGATTTGGTTTTAGTTTATTCTGTGCAATGTCCTGCCTCTAATTGATAGAATAAAAGTATGGGGCTGGCTAACACTGCTATTAACTCTTTGCTTTTAACTCTTTGTGTGTTAACACTGCTTTTAACTCTTTGTGTGACTATGCAATGTACAAAGAGCAGGTTCTCCTTGCAGATGTCAAATATTAAAAAAACTATTGAGCTGGTTTTCAAAGGATCCTTCTTCTCTAACTGCACTGATCTGACCAGGCTGTGGTTTTCCACTGAATGCTAAGTTCTGATTCCAGTTTTCCTTAAACCATTATTTTCAGCAAATTTATTTCCTGCCTTGTGAATTCTCTCTCCCACTGTGCTCTTGCTGCCCTCCCCTCTCCCCCTCTCTCATACATATGATTTTGAGTGTAATGGGTGTCATATCTCTCTCTATCTCTCCATCTGTTCCCACGATCAATGCTCACAGTCCAGCCCCTGCTTTGCATGTAGTGTGTGTGTATCCTCTTTATCCCTGGCCTGTTTTGATTTCGCGCTTTTCCTGTCTCTCCTTTGCCCTCTGTGCCATCTTTTTAGTCTCCATAGCCATCAGAGACCTCAGGGTGTGGTTTGACATTGCAGCTAATTTGGGCTGTTAGCTGTTAAAAATAGTGTCCCTGTTCCCCTGGCTGCACACTGCTCTCGCTTCCCTTGAACTGACACCGGCTGTCACCTCGCAGTTTGAGTGAGGAATCGAGGAGTTAAACTGGTTAACAATTCAGCCTTTAGCAGCAGCCAAAGAAAAAACAATTTGGTTCTCAGTGGTTTTAGCTCAGCAAACCAGATTCAACAAACTTTGTTGAGTGCTGGTGGCACTGTTAGAGATGGGGTCAGAAAGGCACATTGAAGAGAGGCCAGAAGCCCTTGAGAAGTCTGGCTGCAAGGTTGGTCAGTCTTTCACAAGCTGTCAGCCTTTTAATTCCTCCATCTCTCTTCTCTAGGTCTGCCGCTGCATTTTGCATGCTGAAGATTGGACTGTCCCTGCCCTTGACCACTGTCTTTCAACAGGAGTGTGTCATTAGGGGCAGAGGGGTTCCAGCAAAAAGAAAACTGTTCAGCTGCTTTAAAGTATTTTAACTTGAATTGAAGTGTGCCTTTGCAGCCTTAAAAAGGAGCTGGGAGGGGTCACGAGCAGCCCCCAGTGTAAGGAAGTATTTTTGAGGAGAGAATAACCGTGATAACAGACACGACTGGAGTGGGTGCCATTTTTTTTCAGCAGATGGTAACACTGTGGAAGAAGGCAACCCAGGATGTCACATGGCTTTTGACAAATCTTTTGTAACTACAGGTCTGCCTGTGGGTAAGGAGAGACTCAACCTAAACATCTGCGACCCAAAGAGCAAAGGTTTCCAACAGCGGGTGCTCTGGAAGGTTGTCTTTATTTTCAGCTGGGATGTGTGACTTCAGGAGGCTCTGGTGGGATGGGGAGGATCTGTCTCACCCTGTGGTCAAGTGCTCCTGAGTTTGTCCAGCTTGGTGAATGAGTTTGGCCTCTAATGCTCCTGCAACAACCCCCTCCCAAAAAATGAATGACTGGAAACCGAAAACAAGGTACCTCAGTAATCTCTCCTTCTTTAATACAGTAGCCACAGCTGAAAGAGTGTATGTGCACCTTGTTAGTGTATACTTTTTTTTGCTTAGTTTCTCACCCTTCCAGCCTCTTAAAACAATGGCATTATTTTCAAATCAAATTTTATAAAATGAACATTGGAGTTGTTAAGAAGAGATCAAAATTTACATAAGACTTCTATGTAACCTATTACCTATGAAAATTTACTTCAGGCTGAAACATGTTTTCCAAAGCTTACAGCATACAAAACAAATGGGGTTTTAAAATTTCTTTACTTATGATTACCTTAAATTGTGTTTTCTAAAAGGGAAGGGGAAAAAAAAACCTTGGAACCTTACCAGTTTAATTTGCATTTTGGCTCTGATGTAACTCAAAATAGATTAGATTAAAAAAGGAAATTTGGCAAGTGATTACTCAATTACATGATTTTACTGCTTTGGTATTTTGAAAATAAAAATGAACAGATCTGTTTTACTTTGAAAAGCGCCTGGTGCACGTGTGCTGTAACCACTTTTCAGAAACCATATGGAAGGTTCCCTACGCTGCATATGGCAATGCAATACCAGAGTTCAGATATGTATTCCTGTGATAGACTACACAGGATTCAGTTGCATCAGGGACATTAATGTCTACCTTCAGATAGTGCTGTATGGAAGCTCAGCAGGGTAAATGACGTTGGTGTAAAACATGGCAAGTTCCCAGTGACAGGGCTGCATTGCTCCTTTTCCATAGAAAGGAACTAAAATTGCTCGGAGCCAGTGCCAGGCCTGGAAGTTCGGAGGAATTTCAGGAAGAGTTACAGTTACTATTTTGCAAGATAGTAAAGGTGAGCAGCATCAATATATACTTCAAAACATTTCATCATCTAGAGCTATGGTAGCTGCTCATCTCTAGCCTTCATGCCAAGGGTAGGAAGCCTCTGCTGACCCCTAGAAGACCAAGCAAGTGGTGACAAACTCCCTAGAGTAACAAAGCCTTGATCCTCCACATGGTGTGGGATGGGGTAGTACTGTGCCTTAAACTGGCTATTGTCAGGATTATCTGTAATTCCCATCACCCTCTTTTCATTAGCAAACTGGTATGAGAAGATGGACCATCTGTCACTCCATCACTGATGTGTCCCCTTGGAGTCCCTAGGGCTGTTTGTGGCTTTTCAGGTGTCTGAGAAATACAACACTTTTGCCAATGTTTGTTTGGTGCCATGATCTGATCACTTGCCTGTCCTGTCTGTAGAGCTGCTTGGGTCCCTGAAAGCTCCTCCACATGCACATGTGCAGCTGTCCCCTCAGAGCAAACATTGTGTGTCTGTTCCTTCACACAAAGGGCAGCCTCCCTGGTGAGGGATTCCACCAAAATAACCGCAACTTCAAATGACAGAAACTTTACTTAGTGCCATCACTGCCTTGACAAACTGTGGCTCTTCCACTTGATTTCAGTGAGGATTAAGACCTTCAGAACACTAATCTTGATGTAGAAATGATGATACAGACCCAAAATCCTGGGACATGAAGAGCGGAATATGCTGGGAAGTTAGAAATTAATAAATTTCTTATGAAAGGGTGGTGTGGAATGGAGGTGGTGGGCTACAGGATTTCACTGGACTACTGAGCCTGTGGGCCTTCAGCAAAGCAGCCCTGTCTGAAGAGGGGTCACTACCTAGATGTCCCTCACACAAAGGGCTGTTGCAGAAGGACAAGCAGGGATACCCTGCTTCCATCCACCTCAATGTATTTGAAGAGTTACATGGCATGTGAGACTTGGTTGTCTTCTACATCTTGGTTTCATCTTTCTGCCTCTCACAAGTAACTGGACTTGAGTGCCATATACGTGATATTTAACAGACCTGTTTCTGAGAAATCTGTGAGATGGATCTTTGCTGTCTGAAATAAAGCACTTCTCAAGACCCTGAATTTTCCTCATATCTTCACTTTTCTCCTGTTTAAATGTGAAGCAATGGCCTTCATGACCTTTCACGGCTGTGCAATTGTCACTGATGGCATTGCTACAGGAGGATTGTTGCTGCTTCTCAGGAATTGAATATGGTTGTTTTTTCCCTGCTTCCTGCTTTTGTGGGGGCAAGTGATGAGCTCAAACCTGGTTTCCATCCCTCCAGGTCAGCAACCTGTGCTGGCACTGTCAATAGCCTGAGTCATCCCAGCCCTGACAAAGCATGAAGCCTTTACTCAGCAGCAGGAGAGGAGCTGAGAGCTGCCATCAGCCCCAAGTGTTTCCAAGGGGGGAACGACCATGCACTTAACAGAAGGGTTGGTAACCTTCAAAGAAAAAGAAAAGCAAGCTTTTTCTGCTACTGAGTTTGAGATATGTAGACAGTGAGTTTCAGTTTCTTATCTCTGAGGTCAGTTACGGACCAGAAGGTGCAGCGGTGTGCATGTGAGCAGATGTCACTGTTGTGACTTTATAAGTTCTGTGCTGGGGAAAGCAGCAAACCTAGGGCTTCTGTTCTGGAGATGAAAATAGGATGATAGAACCAGGGCAGGAAGAAACCGCTTCCCGGTCACCATATCCTGGTGGAATTGTTGCAATTCATGTGTTATTCAAAGTCTAGATTTCGTGGCCAAGTCTTAAATTAACCTTGGAGTTATCTGGAAAGTCTCTTCTTCCCTGTCGTGTACGAGGCTTTCCCAAGCAAACGCCCTCACTCCTCACACACCTCACCCCCAGTCACGGCTGTTGCTGTTCCAGAGGGAAAGAAATGCGAGCAGAAAAGCTGCCTTAGAAGTCTCTCCAGGTTCATTCCACGGAACACGGGTCGTGC